AAAGGTCACTTTACCTGGGTAGGTTATTCGTTTATAATTTTTTTTAAAAAAAAAAGAAAGGCAGGTCAAAATCATAATGAGACATTTCAATTGATCTGACGTGAACTGCATTTTTTTTTCCCGGTTCGTGAAAATTTTTGTGCTTTTGATGTTTCGTGCTGGTTCAGGACAGGAACATTTTTTTGAACTATCAAAATATTTTGTGGGAAAGGAAACTGTTTCCAACATCGCATTCTTCTTGCATCTTTCTCTGAAGCAGCTGGTACTAGCCATTGTCGAAGATAGGATACTGGACTAGAGGGATCCCTGGTTTGATATAGGTTGGCAATGACTGTGTAGCCCTGAACTGCCACATTTTAATGGTGCTCATGTTTGCAAAGCACTCGGCAGAGTGGAAGAACCATACCAGTACTAAGCAGTGTTATTAACTTGCACATTTTTTCCATTTCTCTTTTGATCTCTGGCTTCTTCAGTTTACAGCAGACTGTTCCCCAAGGCACCATGCTGCAACGTCACTGACAAGGAGATTGAGGTCATGAGGTTGTACATACACAACAGCTGCAACTCTCCATTTATTCGTGGGCAGGAATTTGTCTGGCACTGCTTAGGCCTTTGGATTATTTGATCTTGGGCTTTTAAACAGGACTTGCCCTGATTTTAATAATTGTAGTTTCCTGTCCTTGAGAGGTAATACGAGCTAAGGCTTTACTAGTGAGCAGGTGAAAGTCCTGTGCAGTCATCTACTGTACCACTCGGTCTGATTTTAGCAAAACTCTGACTCAAGGACCTCTCTTAGTGAATGCACAGCAGGTTTATTTAGGTTCTTATATCGCCCACAATACCACTGTCATGTGGCCAGTGTATTACATGAGATCCTTAAGTGTTCATTTGTGAAATCTGGAGTTATGGAAGCCCACTGCTGCTGAGAACATGTGCCCTGTGGTAGGGAGGGAAATGACATGGGAGAGGTGGGGAAGAATTTAAAATGCCAGAAACGTTTTTGATGAATTAACATATAATGTTTAATCCTGCATTTGCCACCTTTACTGATAAGTCACCACTCTACTTCTACCTTGATGCCAGTGGAAAATTGCAAGCTAATAACAGCTAGGTAGATGGCCAGTAGGGAGTCTGTTTGCTTGCCTATATTTACAGAAAACCCCACAAAACTTGTAAGCATCCAATAGTGTGATAGCTAACATACCTAAGTGCGTGATCTGATGACTGTACCGTCATCATCCCTCCTCATTCCTTCTGATTGCTCCAGCCCATGTTGCTTATTGTTTTCAGTTGAATTGCAAGCTCTTCGGGGTTTCTTTGCCGGTGTCTGTCCAGCACCCAGACCCTGGGGCCCTGTTACCTCCTTGGGGCCTCCAGGTACTACCAGAATATAAATAATTATGTTCTGGCAATGTGCCAGAAATTTTCCATGTTTGGTTATTTGAAAATGAATGGTTTCTCTCTGTGGAGATACAAATAAAAGAGAGCCAACCTCTCTCCCCACCCCAAATAAACCCTAAAAAATATGCCAAAACTTCACTTCTCCCCAGTCCCCACGTTTTAAACACTGTGGCACTGACCAAATGTGTGCTAAGAGCGGTACAGTAGTGCCCTGCTTTCTGTTGCTACCCTGCCCTTTTCCTTGATCTGTTCAATACAGTACTTAGCCCAATGGGATCTGTATTTTGATGCGGCCTCTAGGCATATCATAGAATAAATCGTCATTTAAGGGCTTTGGAACAGGGACTTTTTCTTCTTACGTATCTGCATAGTACATAATAGCACCAGTAGTGCTCTATAAATCAGCAGGATGCAGAGAGTGAGTGAAGAAATCCGGGTCTGACCTCGGAAGTTAGTGGGGTTCATGAGACATGTAAGGGTAGGTGGAATCAGCCTAACAAGCTGTTAGGTGTTTTCTGTGTAATACATATACGGCTGGCCATAATGTCCATGTGACAATGTCTCCTTCAAGTGGCTGGTTCACACAGCTGTAATACCAGCTGCTTGCTTCATCTCTTTTAGCTCAAGTGGCAGAAACTTGTGGCTTTGGTGATGAACGTCTTAGGCTCAATCTCCACAGGTGACCATGTGTCTATCTGTACGCATGCAGGCACGTTTCACTGCATCCAATTGATGGAAAGTGACCTTGCTGGGTCACTACAAAGATCGGGATGCTCAGTTTTTCTTTATAGCAGTTACAACACACCACCTGTATTTCTTGTATTGGCTTCTGGCTGTTTGGTGATCTGGAGGGGCTATGCTCCTCACTCCAAGTCAATGTCTTTCCCCTGGTATAAGATGGTTCCTGTGACTTGCATCTTTTGGCAAAGTTTTATTTTATAAATTAGGACCTTGCAATTATTCTTGTTCATTTCTGTGTGCAACAGGTGTCACTTTCAGTGTAGTACAGAGGAATCCCAAAATAGCTCAGACTCTGAAGGAAAAAATACTGGTTATTTCAGCCTTAGCTGTACTGAAAACCCAAAACTCACAGCCCGTTCTGAAATCTGGTATTAATATGGCAGGTGTATCGATTTTGTGGTGTTCTCCTGTATTTATTTTTTTCCATACAGATAATCTTTCTTGTGCATAGATTCTTTCATATGCTATTGGTTTTTCACTAGCATCCACACAGCTGTCTGGTTGCTCAAATGCTACACCTGCCTTTGCTCTTCCTCTGGGTTTCCCTAGTTCAGATGTTCTCAAACTGGTCTGCGAGCTCCATTCAGGTGGTCTGCGGATAGTTCCCTCTAAGGTGTACTCCTGGGCAGTCGCACACGAGAGAATGAAGGGCCACCCACCTAATTAGTGGAGCCGCGCAGGCGTGCCTCCACTAATTAGGTGTCTGTACCCTGGAGAAGATGCACATATAAGGTGAGGTGGTGGCCTTGGGGGGGAATAGCAGGTAGGTGGGAGAGGGCAGTGGGGTGAGACAAGAGGGTGGGGGAAATTTGGGACATGCAGGGCTGCGGCAGCCAGAGAAAGAGGCGACTTTTCCCCAGCTCCAGGGCTGTGGCTGCTGGGGAGAGATGGCCCTCCTTCCCAGTCTCAGCTCTGTGGCTGCTGTGGCAGGGGAGAAACCCCCCTCCTTCCCAGGCCCAGCTCGGGGGCTGCCGCAGCTGGGGAGAGAGGGAGAGACCCTCCTCCTTCCCAGCCCCAGCTTGGGGGCTGCTGTGGCGGGGGAGAGAGGGCACATCTATCGCATTAGAAAGATAAGACTACTGTTATTAAAATATGAGTTGTGTGCTTTTATCTGTAGAACAAAAAAAGTTGTTTATTATTAAGGTTTTTTTTATATAGTGCTTTCATCCAAAGCGCTTTTCAATATTAGCTAACGGTACAAACAACATTTGGAAAGATCATTAAGTGGTCCACCGAGACCCTCAGCAATTTTCAAGTGGTCCACGAAAAAAATGTTTGAGAACCACCGTCCTAGTTGTTGAAGATAAGTAATCTGAGAGTCCAGCTTTCTTTGCCGAACATTGGAGCTAGCTATGACTCACTAGGGTTAACCTTCAGCCTGCTGCTGGAGGAGCTGTGTCCAAGCCCTCTGGAATGTTTTGCTTGCCTAACCCATGCAGGGCTGTGCTGATATTTTTAGCTATTATGAAGATTCTTGGCCTGTGACTAGTAGTGCTGGTGACCCAGGCAATGTCGTCATGAGCCTCAAAATCTTCACTCTGGGCACAAGCATTCATTTTATCCAGTTAACACATTTTTGAAATCTGTGGATGGAAAGGGAAGAACTTACAATTTTCCAATACTTATGGTAACTTGCACTTATGTACTTTGTCTCTTTGTCTCCCTCAGGTGGCTAGGAGTTCTGCTGTTATAACACATAGAGGTTGAAGAATCTGCTATAGCCTTTGGGCTAATGCAGCTGGGTCTTTTAGGTCAGGCAGTTGAGGCTCATGCTTTCAGATCCAGAAGTCCAAGTTTTCATCCCTGCTGCCAAAAACCCATCCAGGAACATCTGGTTACATCCCCATTTTAGAAATGCTTACACACACCCTTAGCTTTACTCAGGTGAGTAGTCCCTTTGAAGTCCCATTGTGCATAAAGTTAAACACATGCATGAATATTTGCGGGCTCTGGGCCTAAATGCGTTACTTCCCAAAGTCAAACCACGTCTCCTATCCCTGAAAGAGTTAATCAAACAGCATTACTATGCCATTGGAATGTTGTTGTTGTTTTTTTCTTTTAGGAACGGGAGAGGATTTACGTTGGTTTAAAAAGAAAAATCACCACAAAGTTGTCCAGGCTGTCAGTGGCACTTGTTCGAGATTTGCATTGCTAACTATCGACCCCAAAAGAGTTAACCGAGTAGGTGTGACTAAGCAGCAGAGAAAGAGATGCAAGTGTGAGAGGTTTGGAACCAAAGCAAAAAACTGGAGGTGAGGAGCATTAATAAAAAAAAGAAAAGTGCAGAGGTGCAGAGTCCAGCAGTGACTGACTTTCTTGATTTGACTGGCCCTGGCATTGTTGGCATCAGCTCTCCTGGGAAAGCTGCAGTTCCGCTGTTATAACACAGGGAGCAGCCTGGAGAATTTTGAGCTGCGTCACAGAGCTCTGAGAGAGAGAGAGTGAGTGTGAGAGAGAGCAAGCTCCCTCGATAGGTCTACTAGCAACAGCCCTGCTGCAGCAAGGGGGAAGAGAGAGAGAGGCAGCAAGAGAGAGAGACAGAAGTAATAACATCATGGACTGGGCTCCTGCAACCGGCCAGCTTAATTTTTAAAAAATTTATTTTGGCTTAATTGATGTTGGAGGGTTCGCCCATTGACGATGCTGGAGACACGATGCGTTTAATCCCGCGGGGAGGGAGGGTGGGCAGACGTCGGAAGGGTTAACGGGAGGAAAATTCTGGAACATTCTATTCTGCGGCGCTGCACAGCGAGCGAGCGAAGGGCTAAGGACTGCGCAGATGTTTAACGGGCAGAGGTCTTCGGCTCGGGGTCCGTCTTTCCCACGTACGTACTCTTTGACTGGGATTGGGTTAGAACTGCATCTTCTTTTATTTATTTACAGGTTCTTTTCCCCCCCTCCCTACTCCTAAGTTCAAACCCTGGAGTGGTTTTATTATGTTTTTGGCTGGATGTTACTGCACTGTTCTGCGTCAGAGCCGTTTTCTGAATGGAATGATGGCACAGGTGGTACGAATGTCGCTCTTGCCTGTGGTGCTGTTATGCAGCTGGGGGTGGTGGTGGTCGTGGGGGGAGATGAGAACTTTGCAGAGGCTGTCGTTTAATAATTTTTTTTTAATTCCTCCCTCCCACCTATTTAAAGGCTGGTATGTCGGCCAGGGGTTGGTGCAGGGATTAACAGACACTCTGCATTTTAAAGCTTGGAGGTTTGTCACTGCGTAGTTCAGAAAGTGGTAAATGGTGACGCAGTGATCATTGCAGGGCATGTTGTCCAGTTTTTAAAAGCATCAGGGGGACAGGTACACCGTGCCTTTCAGAGGCTTCCAGACTAGCTGAAAGGGGTTAAGGATGAGTCGAGAAGGGAAGCTAGGGTTTAGGGATTAAATGTCATCATTTTGGCGTTGGAAAGTTGTTTACCTTGCTCTCTCCGTGTCTCTATGTTGGCAGCCTTCCAGCTCACATGTGATAGTCTTCCCTGTACTGCTGCATCATTAACTAAGTGGCTGAGCTTGCACACGATTGGCTGGGGAGGGTTCTGAGCCTAAACACTTGATCCTATTGGTAGAAAGGGTGATGGCAGGTGAAAAGCTCTCATGGATTGGCCGAGGGCAGGGTGTCAAATCTAAATGTTGATTTCACTTGCCTCAAATCAGTTCTAAACACTTTGTGACTAAATCACCTGGGTTTTCTCTTCTTTTCCTTTTTTAAAATATTTTTAAGGCAGGCATTTGAAATCTCTCTCTCTCTCTCTTGCAGTGTCAGTTATGCAAAGTAACTAAAAGCAAGGGAAGGATGTGACAAGCTCTTGGAGGTGGTTTGTTATGTTGTTTATGTAAATAACACAGCCAGAACCAAGTATGTCATAGCTTGAATTACTTCAGTGACAGGTAAGTTTCCTGTTGTTGCAAAATAAGCCACAGTGACGTGTCAGTCAGGCCAGAGGAAAGTGATAGACTTTTATGTATTTTTCTCTTCCTTCTAAGGATATTAAGTTCTTGTTATTGACCAACAGCACAGGTCTGGAAGGGACCTGGAAAAGAGGGTAAGGAGGCCAAGACAAACAGGAAGATGTTTTTTTCATAACTATTTTTTGCTATCTTCTCATCCTCCCCCACCTCCTCGAAGTGATCGACAATGAAGATTTCAGTTCTGCTCTGACGTTCTGTGGACAAACTACTTGAGCTTGGGTCTCCTTGCTCAGGAAGCCATCCAGCTTCTGCAGAGGAGTACTAACTTGCTTGATCATTCAGCAGGGAGAGTTATTCCTTATCCTTTTTTCATTTGAAGTGACTTCAAGAATATGAGGGTATAAGCATTTAATGTATAACTCACCGACATCTAAAGAGCCAAGTACAGTGATTTAGCAACAATCGCTGGGTTTAGAACCAGATCAGATGTATTGCGTTCTTTCTTGATTTCTTTTATAGTAGTTTCTCTCCTAACGTGTATTCTGATTTTTTATGTAATGTAGATATATGCGCACGCACCCTTCCAGCACTGATTTTATCAGGTCTTAAAGGGCACCTGTATTGCTCTCTCACCTCCAGCTCAATATCTTGGGGCAGTAAAAAGGAGGGAGGAGACCATTTCTAAAGAGTGAGAAGTGGTAGGAGACAGAAGGAGGGAAAATAACAAGCCAGAGGGGATAACTGATCTGTCCCCCTCTTTCCCATCTCGTTCCCATCTCTACGTTTTTCACGTCTCCCCCCCCTCTGCCAAGGTTCATGGTGAATTTTAAATTCTCTTACTGCGGTTGCCACTGTCCCTGCTGACTTGCTGATCCCTCGCCCTGTGGATTTGGCTCTGTTGGAGTCTCCTTGCTTCCTGCAGTGCCAGGTCCGCAGAGCAGCAGAACGGCAGTAACAATATGTGTCTGTTCATCTTACTGCAGAGCACACAATACATATACGTACATAGGCACAATACTGCAGTTGCATTTGTACAAGGCAGCAGCTGGGTTAAGTCCATTTTGCTGAATGTCATGTATACGGGTGCCCCTTGTATTTCCCACCTATCGTTGCTGGGGGCTCTGTTAACTTGCAACGCACAGTGCCCAATAATGGTTTGGGGTTCCCATTGGATTTAGAGAAGGAGGTACAGTTGGCAGCCCATCCACTCAACAGAGAGCAAGCATTCTTTCTGAGCACCCATATTCAGGCATAGAGAGTGGTTCATTTTTATTCCTTTTCTCATTTCTCAGCTGCTTACAGAGATGTTTGCACTTGTGACTCATTTTTTTTTGTCTTATTTTAACCTTTAAGTTTAGTTGCACTGCTAAACACGTGTTCATATGGGAATTGAGGTTACCTGCTGCAGCTAAATCTATGGGACTCAAAGGATCATCTGAAATAAGGCAGTGACAGAAGCATGGCATTTTTCTAGAGGGTGATGGGGAAACTGACTCATTCAGGTCATGTGGCTGGAGTTACTAATGTAAGTGTGTTAGAAGTATGAACAATCAATTGGTCAAAAGTGGCCTACTGGTTAAGCACTGAACAGGAGTCCAGAGTTTTGGTTTCTGTTCCTGGCTTTACCACTTACTTGCTTTTGTGTGACCTTGGTCTTGTCAGTTTACCTCTTTGTGCGTTGGCTTCCTCTTCTGTAAAATGGGGTTTATTATACCTGCCTCAGAGGGGTGTTGTGAGGCTTTGCTCATTAATGAGCTGAATCATTTAGTCTTTACTCAAGCAAAACTCTTACTGATTTCCATAGCAGTATTACTGTTGTAAATCATGTTCAGACCTTCCAATGGATGGCATTATGCATTTGAAAGCATTACCTTCATGTTTTTCTTAGATTCCAAGGCCAGAAGGAACCAGTGTGGTCTCCCCTATCGCACAGGCCATGGAAATTCCAGTGTTTTTTTTCTTTTTTGCATCTGAGCAGGGCTCTGAGTGAACAGGCGGCCATGATTGCTTCCTGCACTTGTTTTGCTGATGGTTGTGTTACATCTGTGACGCATTCTGTTTTGTTGGTGATGGGCGTCTCTGCTTTGTGGAGTGGAGTGGTGAGGGTTAGAATGGAGATTCATAGAGATATAACTTTAACGTTCGTAGTAAAGTGTGTAACCATAACCAAAGCAGCAGTGGTATCGGCATCCACCATTTTCGCCCCTCATAAGCAGCAAAGGAATCCAAATGGAGGCAACAGCACCGCTAGCCATTTTGTTGCTTGCAGAGTGAATTCTAAGCCTGCAGTGCCGCTGCTGTTAATTTCCATGTTGTATAAATACGGCACTGGGCTCTGTGACAGAGCTTTGCTGATGCTGTGAGGAGGTTATGTTCTTTCAGCAAATGTTTTTGTTGTTGTTTGGAGAAATCTATTAAAAACATCCAAATACTAGATTTTTTGTCCCCTTCCCAACGCACCAGAAATCATCCCCTGAAACCATTGAGAAAACCAAATCTTGCTTTAGGATTTTTTTAACCCTGTGCATGGTGTTCTCTTGTCGTTGGTATGGGTGTGGCCAGGGATTACCAGTCTTCGGTGCCTGGGGTTGGGACGTATGCCGCAGTGGTTAGTTATAGCTGATACTTGTGGGTGGCAATGTGCCTGATTACAGGATTTCCATAGAAAATGCCAATTCCGAGTTGCATTGATGCCCTGGTTTATAGAGGGGAAATTTATTCCATTGTTTCTCCTGCCCTCCCGCCTCCCTACAGTTTTTGCTGGAAAACGAAAAGAGCAGTGTATACTTACGTTGGCTCATGGAATGGTTTTACTAGTATTAAGAAATACTGATGGTGTTTATATAATTTATGCAGAGATAGATCTTGGAATAACTGTGCTCATGCCCAGAGAGAGGTACCTTCCACAGCAGGGTGGACCATCAGACCGCCTCCTGCAAGGTCATTCTGCTGTCTCACCATCAGCCGCTAACAGGTACCAGAACCAAATGTCCTTGAATTTTGATGATGATGAAGCTCTGCACCTGTCTCTGACTTTTGCAAATAATCTCTACTTTTATAATGGGCCAAACCAAACCCCTAAATCTAAATAACCATCAAAATTGGCCGTATTTTGAAATCCACTTATGAGTTTTGTGCTCTGAGCTGATCTTCAGAGCTGGTAAAAACCCTTTTTCCTGGACTGGTAAGCGAGTGGGAGCGAATTTTCAAACATAGACACCTAAGTTGACCTGTGCAAAAACTAATTAAATAAAAAGCCATCCATATTTGCATATCTGCTCACATATTTGTTATCACTCAGATTCCTTGGGTTGCTGATTGTGCTTCTGCCAGTGACCATCTAGTTAGCACAGTCCCTTGTGTATTTTTAGAGCTAGTCACTGCTCACTGGCTTTTCTGTCCCTTGTTGCTTGAGCAGCTGATTCCTGATTTTGTGCAGGTGTTTCCATTTGCACAAGCCAGTGATATTTTCAAGTAACTCTGGGCCCCTAATGTGTATTGGCGTTGTTACTTCGTTTTCATGGGAAAGGAACCCAGCTGCTAATTCTGATGGCAGTACTGCCTCTCCACCCACAAGAAAACCTATGTGGTAGTTTGTCTGCTGAAAAACCAAACCAACACAGCATGATTCAGACCTTAAGCTTTCCAAGAAGCAGATATTTCCTATTTAAATACATCCCTTCATCTCCAAGCACAACACTTTCTATATAGGGCAAATGGGTTAGAAGATTTGTCCTTACGCAGCCACTGGCTTCATATTTGATTATGAAATTCATTCACTTCAAAGCCGCCATTGAACCACTGACACATGTGTTAGACTGAAAACATTTGGACACTGACAGGTTGGTTCCCCCATCCTCAGACTGATAAGTGGGATCCATGTACATGGCGTCACAACTGCCTGCATTCTTGCAGCCCATCCATATATGAAGCACTGGCTTCAACCCCCAAGGTGCAAGGATAGTTTCTGTGGAGGAAAGGAAAATGTAATGGTTCGAGGACCATCTAAGGATCACACGGCCTGAAGCTTGAGACGTGGCCAGAAGATGAAAGTTCTGAGTCTCTTTAGTCAGCGGTTTCAATTGAGGGATCTGCAAAATAAAGCAGAAGGCGTGGTTCTAATATGTGTTAAACTACAGATAGCATGTTGCTATATGGCCTTGCATCAAGGGCTTGTATGGCAGTGATCATTTTAGGGGCATTACAGTACCTACCTCCTAGAACCCTTCTGTGCCAAGCCACTGATTGGTGACATGCATGTAGCCCACCTTCCCTTCAAGGCACAGGGAAAGGCTTGAATTCCCTTGCTAATGCTTAGAAACAGACATTTCATAGAAGTTAGCAACTGAAAAAGCCCCGCTGGGTTCCATCTAGTCCAGTGGAAGACTGGTCAATACAGTATGTTGTTCAAGCTAGCTTTAAATGGCTGAAGCGATGAGTCTGCTAGTGCTTTTCTTGGGATGCACTTCCACAGTCTAGTAGAGCTAACCGCTAGGCATTTCTCCTTAACAGCTGAAATTTCCCTTCGCTTAATTTCACCCCATCGCTCCTTTTAAAGCTTGGGGTAAGTCATTGACTTTAGTGGAATTTCATCCTCACAAGCCAGCTCTGAATTTGACCCCTTAGATTTTAACCTACTAAGGCAAAGTTATTCAAGCTTTCTTTAACCCACTCCATTTCAGCTAGACATAGCAGGTAATGTGGCCCCCTATGTCAAGGCCATAAAATGTGGGGTGAACTTGCCGTATGAGTTGGTGTGTCTTAATGCAGTGAAGCGAGTTAGCATTGGCTTGCAGTTGCATATTATGTCATTTATTCTTTCTAGGCCTGGCATGAGACAGATCAGAATGATACTGTTCTGATCTATGACCAGTGGAGCATAGTTTTATACTTGTTTGTCTTGTCCAATAAAAAGTATATTGGTCTATATTAATGCCTCATTTGACTCTTGCACGGGAGGGCTGGCAGGGCATTAGGAGGCTGCAGATGGATGTGACGCAGAGCTGTGCTCTGTGGGCGCTCCTTCCAGGTTGCTGCAGAGAAGGGGAGGAGCACGCACAAGTGGAACTGCAGCAGCATGGCTTCCCCAGATTTTCCACCGTGCTAGCCTTGGCAAATCTACTGCCGATCCACAGCCTGGGCAGTCGGATTCTGACCCATGGAAGGCTCCTCTGCGCTAAGCCATACGTTCTTGGTTTGGTGGAGGGAATAGGACTTTTATTTGGTGGGGGGATAATGCTATACAAGCTAAATACTCCATTTAACAAGGTTTTAATATGGCTCTGATCATTCAAAAGCTGTTTAAAATTGACCGTCCCTAACAAAAATTGACATGAATTGAAACTACTAGCCATATTAAACCACTTGGCAGAGCAAGAGTTAATCATGCAGTAACATGGGTTCAGTGCAGCAGTTACGCATAAGAGAAATTGCTTTGAAATGTGACTGCAACACTTGCGTAGCAGCCAGTGTTCAAATATCTCTACCATTTCAAAAAAATCTTCCCGAAAATACCAAACTTTATTAAATTCTCTCCATGTTTTCTTTTTAAAAACATATTTTTAAATATTTCTTAAAAAAAAACTAGTGACTGGCCAAACCAAACCCTTGTCTGCTACTCAGTTAAAAAAAATCTGCATCTCGATCTTTCTGCCCAGTAAGATATTTCCAAGGTAAATGTGTGTAGGTACGCTGGCATCTTGGAGACTAACTTTCACTTGAACAGGAGTTCAAACTGATGGTCTATTTGGAACAGAAATGCTGGCTCTCCTGTTATTATGTTACGATAGAATGCGACAAAAAGCCGTACAACTTTGCTAGTGGGAGGTCTCATGGGCTTCTAGGATTACTACTCTGAGTAAGGTTTGCAGGATCAGAGCCCTATGTTGTTTTAGTTCATTAGCTATATCACAGTAGTAGGGCAATGAATATAAGTGTAGGGTGCTGTCAGGGCTGTAATAATTAAGGGCATGCTCTCTTGTTTTTATTCAGTCCCTGCTCAAGCAAAACTCCCACTGGAAACTTTTGAAGCAAGTGGGAAGATTGTCACGGCCTGTTCCTGTCCTGTGAATAGATAATGCTGGAGTATGGAAGGCTGCTTGTCACCTTTCACCAGCATTAAGTTCACTGAAACAAAAATAGTAATGGCTATCTTATCTCTGACTTTTCACGTTCAGCCTAGGTTGATGAGGATGCTCACTAAGAGAGACATGGTGATCTAATGATTGTAGCAGAGGGGGAGGTCACATAGTGGTTGAGTGAGGCAGACGGGGACAGAGTGTCACACTGAGTGGGCATGAGTTACACATCTCTTCTCATGGACATCTCAACCCAAGCTTCAGAAGTTCACCCAGTTCAGTTATCTCTATGTGCTACTGCTTGTTACACCAGATCCCCGGGTCCTGTGCCTGGCTCTACTGTTAACTCATTATATTACCTTGTGTGTAATTCACATTTCCTCTGTGTCTTAGTCTCCACCCTGTAAAATGGGGGTACTTCCTCTCAGAGGTGTTGAGAAAATTAGGGTCTGATCCTCAGTTAACACTATTTCTGGGAATGGATGGATGGTGAAGCCCTTAAAGCCACCTTTGTCCCTGTATTTTGGGATCATTTAGGAGCCTGTGTGTATTGCAGTGTAAATTACAGCAGCCTCAGGGCTACTTCGACCTACGCTCTGCTTTCCATGGCCCCCTGTGGGCCCTGGGGAGAAGAAAGTAGCTGTAACATGGTGGACTCTGGTCCTGCCTCCAGTCTGCCATCTCCACTGAGCCAGTATAGAGCCTTTATGCCAGCTAGGAAGGCCCCTTTGTAGGGGTGATTCTCTGGGTGGGTTCTGCCCAATTTAAGGCCCCTTCGTGCTACCAGAGAGTTGCAAAGGGGCCTTAATGTCCATGAAGCCCTTAGGTCCTGAAAGAGGCTGTGTACATGCAGAGCATTATTGGAGCTGGCTGAAAAGTGTGAAAAAAATACATTTGTGGAAGTTCCACACCCACCCTCTGTTTTTTGCTGAAAACTTTTCAGCAGAGATGTTCCAGATGGATCTAATTGGTTATTTATTTCTCAGGGAGGGGTGTGTAGATACTGTGCGTGCACACACTCACTTTGTCAGGATGAATTCTGCCTACATGTAGTTTCTGTTTCCCGGGCAACTGCTAACCTATTGCAGAATCATGAACTGTTCTGATTTTTTTCTTGTTTATATTTCCCCTTCCCCAGTGCTGCCTGACCTCATGGACATCCTGTATGAGATGCCCAAGCAAGCCACAGACTTTGGAAGGAACAGCATCAGCTATCAGAGATTCCTCTTTTATGAAAGGAAACTTGGTAAGATACAGGAAAACATGTAGGCTCTGACACTGAACAGCAGCTATACTGAATTGAATTCTGCTTTAAAACAGTTGACTGCAAATTCCTACTGACATGGGGTAAAGTAAAGGATTATGGTAATTAAACTGAGACTGAAAACAAATGAACCATTACACTTTTCTGTGTCTTCATTGTATTTTTGTAAATGTTAGTCCACTTTGTTGATGTTCCTCTTCCTCATGTCCTGTCCCTTCTCTGACTACTGCGCTGGGTATGGTTTTGATTAATACATTAACTAACTGAAGTTGCTGTTTTGTGAAGTCATGTTGGCTCTGCTCCTTTTCTGTGGCTCTATCATTGGTTGCGGTTAGCGACCTTGGAGCACGAACAGTACAAGACTGATTAAAGTGCCCTCTAATCTTTAGTGTGTGAGTGTGCAGCTTCTGTGTTCTTAAAAAGCTTGAGCCCATATTTCATTCAGCGTGGTTTCCCCTCTCATATTTCAGATGCAAGATTTAATGAGGTAACAAAAGGGCTCCGACAATGCTCTAGCACTTATGAATGCAAGAAATAATTCTTGACCTTAACACGTTTTGTGGGAGAGAGATTTCTTTAGATGAAAGCCTTGGAGTGAAGGAAAAGATTTGCAGACACTGAATTACTTAGACATCTAAATTAGAACATGGGCTCAAGCCAACATGCAAATCTTACTTATAGTTCCTCTTTTCATTTTTCTGTCCTCATCTGTTTGTTCACAAGGATTGTCCTGATATGATCTCTTCCTGCTCCTCCTCCTCCTTTTTTGTCTTCTGTTTCTGTTCCCCTCACACTTTTAGGTGCAGTTTGACAAAGGGACACAATATGTAAAACTAACAAGGATGCTCAGAGTTAAGAAACGCAAGAAGGGCCGAAGATAAGAAGGTTGCATTTTTGTCTGCTTTCTGAAAAGCCTTTAGATTGATTCTCCTCTGTCTTCCCATTGTGTCATTATTATGGATTCCTGTGCATAGTGAGACACTATTATTCTGATTACATGCTCTTTGTACATACAAATGACTGTCCAAGGTTCATGGCAATAAGAATCAGTCTCCTTGGTTGTGATTGGTGAGAAAACACAGCTAGTTAAAGCATCAAGAACAGGAAGTTTGAGGGCAAAATAAATCAGATGGCATTTAGAAGGGGTTAGAGGTCATTTTATTGCATGCTGTGGAAATCTGAAATTCCATGTGTCATGATGTTAATCTTCAGTAATTACGCTTTCCCGTCATTAGTAGTTCTCTAGACTAGTTCCCATCTTAACTACGAGAATGTACTACGTGGTTCCTGCTTTAGAAGACTGTCTTATGATGTACCACTTTGGTGCATCATATTTTACCAAGAAATCGTTTTCTGAAACGATAACTTAAAAATATCAGGGGAACATAGCTGTTATAAGGCATAATCTTTTTTCCTTAAATTAAGTGATGGGGAAAGCTTGCAGCAGCAACTGGCCATCTTGAAAGAGATGAACAATCTGAAACAAATACTAGTTCATGCCGAGGGAATGGTTGCTAGGTGTGACAGTTAGTAGCTATGAACTTAATGAGACATGAGTCGCACTGTGGAGGAGGAGGAGGAGGAGGAAGAGAAGGAGGGCTCTTTGGAATAAATGAGTAGGAAAAAAAAGAGTAATGCCAAGTTTCCAAAGTTTAATGTGGCTGTTTTAATTAACTCTTTCTTACTCAGAAAACAGTCAGAGCTCTGCTATAGTACATCAAAATTTCCCTTTCTTTAAGTTGTTTTGCTTCTTGTAACAGTAGTTTTTTTTGTCCCCTGCTTTTACGTATAGAGTATATAATTTAGTGTTAATGAAAGGTACAGAACTGGCAGCCTATTGAAAAGGAGCAGATATAGGCACAAGTTCCCCATCCTCTGGCCCCCAGGATGGATGGCAGCTCCCTCCGTCAGTCAGAGGGGAGTTCAGTCTTCATGGTCCATTCCTATGCTGGGCCTCTCTGCTGAGACTGGGTGTCAGTGAGAGCAGGATGTAGGGTTGTTTTTGTGGTTTCAGATCAGATCAGGAAAACAGAGACTATTGGCCTAGCTTTTTAAAAGTGGCTAGTGATTTTGGGTGTCCCTGCCCAACTTGAGATGGCTTGAAAGGGGCCTGAATTTCAGAAAGTGCTGAGCGCTTGCCCTGTGAAAACTAGGCCCCTTTAGGATGTCTTAAGTTGGGCACCCAAAAATTCAAGTCACATTTTTTTGAAAATGCAGGCTTCTTGTCCTTAGATCTTACTATGTGGATCCCCATTGGTTTTGATGAGACTATTTGTAGTCGTAAACACTGCACACAGTGGTTAGTAGAACAGTAAGATTGTAAGATGGATTCTGGTTCTAGCTGTCCAGCTGAGAATTCTTGTGGTGGTGAGGAAATATCTGCTTGCATAAAGCCAGCAGACTAGGCCCCAGGGCCAGCTGCCCGTAGCTGCCGTGGCATAGGGGATGTGTCGGGCAAGATGGAGCTCTGCTAATTCTCCAGGGGCATAAATCTGTACCACATGCTGGGGCTGGCACAGGCCAGTCCACAGAATCAGGGAGCCATAACAGACTCTCCTGACCCCACCTTCCCCTACACTCTCCTATACCAAGCAGAGATTATCAGAAGAAGATAGTCTGTCCCTTCTTCTCTGGGAAATGGACCCAGGCTATTGAATTCATTTTGCATGGGTTCCTTCAGATGGTAACTGCTCTCGGTCAAAACCAGCTGGTAGGTTCAAATATGCATTTTCCTCAGCATCTTCTGCTTACTTAGATGTTAACTTAAACCAATCAGTGGTGATCTGATGAGACAGCCCTAGGTGCATCTGCCCTCACAATTCCTTTGTGGATGCGGAGAATTTGAGATTTGTTTGAAAAATGAATTTGTCTTTTGGGGCAAGTTATTGTGGGATTTTTTTAAATAAATAAAGAGTGCGCCTGCCCTCTCTTCATTTGAACATAACTTGAGCAGCCTTTTGAATATCTTTTACAAAACCTGGCATTAGAATCAGCAGCCCAGGCCAAGTATAACTGAGGCCCACAGTGTGAAACCTCAGCTCACTTTGGAACTGTATTGCTTGGACTCGTAGGCAGCGTTTGATATTGACCCAGCATTTTCCCTGGCAGGTTTCTGGGTTAGTGGGCAATCATTTTCTATCAGACGAGATGCAAATTATTCTTACCACCTCAAGAACTGATGGCCGTAAGTCATACAGCTAATCAACCTGTGTCTGAATCATTGATGACATTATTGACGCAAATTTGTCCCCACTCCTGTTGCCATATAAGAAGCAAAACACTGTACATCGGTGAAAAATGGTGGGTTTTAAACTTTTAGCCATGTGACCATTTTTTGGCCAACATAGATGCAGGCAAAGTGAAACACAAAAACTTACTGGGGTGGACAGATGCACACCCTTGATGTTTATAGTTACATAAAGGGAGGATAAAAGTGTGAGATGTCTCTCCCATAGCTGCATGAGCTCCTATGGGGTTAACAGGATTAGAGATCAGCAGATGTGACTCAGAGACGCAGGGAGCAGCAGGAGCCATTCTTACATGGTCGCTTTTTAACCCTAAAAAAATGCTTTCATGTAACTGATACCAGGTGTAAGGGGTTGAGGGAGAGAGTTGGTTTCACTGTTGTTAGTGATCCTTCCCAACACAAGAAGCTTTTGTTTTTTGAAAAAAGAGGATGTGTAGCTTTTAAAATTATGTTTCAAATATCTGTTGTTCTGACCCACACCTGTTGCTTCCTCTTTTGTTCTGATGTTCAGCCCTCCTGAAAATTCCCTTCAGAGTTATTTTGTGTTGCCATTATTCTGCTTGTGCTCTGAGCTGTTCAGGCCACTTCGACTTGGGCAGGGGGTATCATAGGCTGGGGAAGGCTGCACCTTCCCAAACAGCCACGCATGGCCCTGCCCACACTCCGCTCCCAGGCCCCCCTCCTGCTTCCCGCTCTGGCTCCAGTTCCCCTGTGCCTGGCCCTGGCTCAGGCTGGGGCTGCCTGGGCCACCCACCCTCCCGGCACTGTGGGGCAGGGAGGGCTGGGGCCGCTGGCTGGTGGCCATGGTCGGTGGGGCTCTGGACTCCAGTGGAGGGGAGGGGTGGGGCGGGGCCTCGGGTAGAAGGGTCAGAGCTGGGGGCTAGCCTCCCATAGCCAGCAGTCCATGTGCCGCCCATACAGTTTGGTTATGTTGTTTAGTCAGGTGGCTCTTCATGCTATGAAGCCTGAGGCGAAGTGGATAACAACCACCCCACCACCACCCCCCCCAGCAGTGGCAACGGTGAGGGGCTGCTTCTCTTACTTGATCCTGATTTTACACCAATGTGAGCTCTGGCTCTGACCAAGTTAACATCAAATCTGAGCACTGGTACAATAAGAGAAGGAAAGACTGAAACTGGAGGAGGAGCCTCACTCCCCTTAGCTGACACTAGCTGCTGCCTATCCAGGGAAGCTGATTTTTTGTTTTTTCTTCTCTCTTTTGGTTGCAGCAGCTTTGAATAGCTGGCATAACATCAAATAGAAGTTGGCTGAACGGGTCAACAAATGAGGATGAAGCCTTTAAAATGTAGAAGTTCTGCAAGCTACAGTGTGTGTGGAGATAAAATAGACAAGAATAGTTATAATAGAAATAAAAGTTATAAGAATTCAGGTTCCAGGATTGGTCAGTGAGGATTATCAGAGAGATAATCTGAACAGTTTAATAAAGCAAATAATAATTGAGTCAGTGCAGTGGAAACCACTTGTAGTGCTATTTTGTTTAATAAAATAACTTCCCTTTCAGCAGGGGTTGGCTGGAACTAGGAATATGATTTGCATGTCGTGACGCATTGCAACAGTTGGGGCTTTCCATTTCTCTTCTGTCAACATAGGTTCACTGGTTCAGAGTCAGATCCACTGTTGGTCTCCTTGCCCACTTCCTGTTTGTCTCTTGGGGCTGTAGGTGTTGAATATTGCAAGAACTCAAATATTTAATGCATGGTTCTTCTCTTTGGTTGTTTTGAAGCTTGCTACTTTCCTTGGAAAATCAGGGTATAAAAATGATTTACTGCTCTAGTGACTGAAGGTATGTATTGGTGCTTTGCAAACATAGAACGTAGAAAAACTAAAACTTTACTGCCAGGAGCTTTGAATTCAAAGACAAATCTTATCTCTACCTGTGTCTGCCTTGTGGAGTTCACAACACTGATGCCTCCATGCCTCTGTTGGCTGTTCCTCACCAGCCCAAGTGTCAGCCAAAAAGCTCTTGCAGGCTGTCTAGTGCTGTCCCTTCCCCAGGGACAGTGTGAGGAACTAGGGAAGTAGCGTCTCCCTGATATATTACAGAGGCAACAGGATGTTTTCCAGCAGGGTCATTTCAGGGTGTGTGGAGGTTTATGCTATAATTACCTGATTTGAATTGGGGTAGAACTCACAGGTGAGTTGTTCCACACTCCATCTTTCCCCTTTTCCATTCAGTGGAGGTGGTGGGAATTGGGAATTAAAGGTGAGCGATATCACCAGCAGTTCTACAGGAGAGTGCCAACTTGGATCTGTGCCTTAAACCACTCTCCAGCAAGTACTCTCAAATGCAAAGTCCCACAAAGTGTATTTCCTTCCTGCCATACAGATGGCTCTTTCAGGGTAACAGGGAAAATGATTCATATTAACTGTCCTTCCTTATCCAAGTCTCTTACTAACACCTGGAGGCCATGCTGCTGAACCGTGAAGTGTCTATTGGGCAGCCTACAAGGACACACAACCACTGAAAATTTCTATGCAATTGCTGGATTTCTCCACCATATTTAAGATTACATGACATTTCTAACTACCACCACTACAAAACAATTCTGTAGTGTGGCAGGTGGTTTGTGATGCCAAAAATGTAACACACATTCTGGTCAAGTAGCCAAAGCCAGACAAGATACTTATGTGTTCCAGATGTTGGGAAGTAATCCATTTTCTGAAGTTTGCTTGCCGTGTGTGTGTATGCAGAGCTACATTTTCAAACACTATTGCCTAAGTTGCACCTTCAAAATACGTGCATTAGCTCTGTGAAAAGTGAATGAGTATAATGGGAGATATTTAAACCATGTTTTGGGTTGCAGAATGTTTTGCAGTTTTTGGAAAAATGCCTGTGATGTGATGTGATATATTCATATGATACAATTATTTCATGCACTGAAATTAGGATTCCAGAGATAGAAAGGGCACTCTCCAGTTTGCACTGCTGAAAGTGCACATCCTCACTGGTCCATCCAGTCAGCGTCTAGTCTAATCAGCAGACCCAGCGTCATCCCTGGAAGACGTCCAAGAGGAGACCATTGCTGGTGGGGATGAAGAGCGCACACAAGGCGGAACAGAAGCCCTGGAGTCTGTTTGCTCCAAGACATATTTTCTTAGGTAAGCAAACTACAGAAAGTCAAGTAGTCTCCCACACCTGTTTCTGTTTCTAAATCCAGTGTCTGAGTCAAAATAATTGCTGGAAAGCAAAAGAAAAACTAGGTGGTGCTGACGTTTGTCTTAAGCTTTTCTTACTCCTTTACAGATCACCCTGAATACGGAATGTGGTTATTTCCTGAAGGCTCTGCAGACTAAGCTAACCAGAAAATGCTCCACGATAGCATTCTGCAAAAGGTCTGGCTAATTATGGCTGAGATTATTAAACTGTAGTACATCTTTGTGGTTCTATTATTTGAGCCTCTTATCAAAGGGAAACATTAGTCAAGCTGTTGCCGAAGTGTGCGTCTTTGCTCCATAGAGGTTATCAGTTTGCAGTGATTGATTTAGATTAGGAGTAATGGGAAGAATGTAAAAAATCCATTTCACCAGTGGCTGGGGCTGAATTCCATTTCACCGTTTCAACCATTCTGGTGGCTGGGACTGAAGAGAGTAGAAGGGACCTACTTCTGCTGTTAGTTAGAGGCGATCTTACTGGGCTCAAATAGTGGAGTTACATCCATTGTAGCAAAAAATTCTTGCGTAGCATCAGGGTTGGAACGCAAGAATTTTTTGTACAGTATAGATGGTGACCCACTATAAGTCTGCAACACATAAGATTGTGTACCTTACTGAAGGGTCTGGAGCAGTCTCCAATCAATAGGACATGTAAAGCAGTAGGAGAAGAGTAAAGAGAGGACCTTAATGATTGTGGGTAGATTCTGCTGTCTCACTGATCTGCCTGCTGTTGCCTCAATCTATGCATATATATTTCCAGCCTGATTTCCTGTGTTATCTGTAGGACTGTCATCGGATGTCAGGTCTCTCTGGGCACCATCAACATTGTTCCAGGTACTCCAAGAACAGGAGCTCTGTTCATTTGAAAGTGGCTGCAATCTAAGGCCATGAAAGCAGAGATGGGGAAACCCCTCTGAGGCTATGTCTATGCTGTGTACCTTACAGCGGTACACTCTTTGTGGGCAGGAGAGAGCTCTCCTGCTGACAAAATAAAACCACCCCCTAATGAGGGGCGGAAGAGCATCACCCATCGTCCAAGCGCTGTCCACACTGGCACTTTTTGTCAGTAAAACTTTTGTCAATTGGTGGGGGGTGGTGTGTTTTTTACACCCCTGACTGACAAAAGTTTTTACTGATGTAAGTGGTAATGTAGCCATAGCCAGATTCTCTGCTTTTTAATGTCTGTGTTTAAGTGAAACGGCTTTAACTGAAGTATGCTGATTTCTAGTTCATAGGGCCGACATCACTGAGGGTGGGTGGGTATCTAGGCTAGACCCTCAGTATTGATGGCACAGAAGCTGTATTGGTTTACACCAGCTGAAGATTTGGCCTGTATGCGTGTGCGCACACATCTCCCTACCTGCCTACTCTAGCAGGAGAGAGCCTCTATCTCAGAGCTGGAGGTGCTGTCACTGAAGCAGTGGAATGATTCCCCCACACCACTGACTGAATTTGGCTCTCACCTTGCTCGAATTTCAGCTTGACAAAACAAAATGGCTGCTAGTTCATCTGAATGCCTTTTGAATAATACATCTCGTCATCTGTAGCGAATGAATCACACTCGCTTCCTATTAACACAGTCATTTTTTAGAGAATGAAACTGGAATTCCTTTTCTTTTCTGTTCCAAACCACTCTGAGCTATTTTCTGTCCATGCTTGTCTTCAAATGGACTTTGGCCATTAATTCCTTTCAGCAGAACAAATGAAATGCAGTGCATGCTGAAACACTATGAAATAGCATTAGTTTTCACATATTCCTTGTTGCACTTATAAGTGCTGCTATAAAACAAAACAAAAAACAAAAACCTCTACTTTAACTGGTTTCAGAGTAACAGCCGTGTTAGTCTGTCTTTGCAAAAAGAAAAGGAGTACTTGTGGCACCTTAGAGACTAACCAATTTATTTGAGTATGAGCTTTTGTGAGCTACAGCTCACTTCATCGGATGCTACTGCAGTTTCCACGGTATGCATCCGATGAAGTGAGCTGTAGCTCACGAAAGCTCATGCTCAAATAAATTGGTTAGTCTCTAAGGTGCCACAAGTCCTCCTTTTCTTTTTACTTTAACTGGCTGCATCTCATAGAAGAATTTCAGTGTGGTCCAGTGGTTAGAGAAGGGCACGCAGAGTCAGGACTCTGTCATTTACTTACTGTGTAACCTCGAGAAAATCACTGTGTCTCAATTCATACATCTATAAGATGAGTAATACATACCCACCTCTCAAAGGGGTCGCTACATTTAATTAACATTTGCAAAGTGCTGTTATGTGTGAAAGGGGCTATAAAAACCCAACTTGATGGCATTTCTGTGCTTGGATGTTTGGATATAATGTCAGGTTTCAGAGTAACAGCCGTGTTAGTCTGTATTCGCAAAAAGAAAAGGAGTATTTGTGGCACCTTAGAGACTAACCAATTTATTTGAGCATAAGCTTTCGTGAGCTACAGCTCACTTCATCGCATATAATGTGATAACTGTGGAACGCCACGTTGGATCAATTGCAAAATTTCAGGGAATGTTCTAGGCATTGATGGGCAGAACCGTATTGATTTTGGCAAAGTCAGCAGAGGGAAATTGGAGATACATGGAACTCCTAGCATCTGGTTAGCAGAGCTAGCAGCTTCAGCCACCTCTGTAATTGTCGACAGATCAGATAACTGGTGGATGGCAGCCATTAACACATTCAAGCATAACAATGTCTACCCCTCATTTTAGCTCTGCCTGTCCTCCCAATTCAGTTTAAAAATGTTGGCAGAGAAGGAAAAGAAGAAGAATGGGTGGGGAGGGCACACATAACCCCTGGCAGAGGGAGAATGTGGGACCCTGGTATGGGGAGAAGCTGGGTGCACGCAGAGTATGGGGAGGACTGGGGGTGCACACAGTCCCTGGCATGGAGTAGAAAATAGGGGACACAGAGTCTGTAGCATGGGGCGGAGGGGTTGCAACAAGTCCCTGTAATAGAGGGGGATTGGAGGGCGGCATGGGTCGGGGGGGATGGACACAAGGACCCCTGGTGTGTGTGCAGTGAGCTTCAGTCAGCTTGAAGCAAAGAAGTGTGTAGCCCCCTAGTTATTATGGCTTGCAGTATTTCTGCTGCATCCTTTGTCTGTTTTCTGACCCTCTTCATTCCAGCTGAACCATGAACATTTTTGTTGCCTATCGGGTGGACATATTGTAGCAAGGATGGATTTGAACGCATCAGGAAGTTACCTTATAATGACAGTAGTTTGCACTTAACATCTTTCTTGTCCAAGAATCAAAAAGTAATTTATTAAGGTAAGTAAGTATTATCCCTATTTAAAGATGGGGGCAACTAAGGCACCAAGATGTCTTGTATGACCTTGGATGCATCAGTTTTGAGGTAGTAACAGAACCCAGGTCTTTTGATATGCATTTAACTGCTTTCATTACTAGATACTGCCTCTTAGTATTATGTAGTTAATATTGTAGATCATTGGTGGCAGGTAGGCAAATTAGTTTGGCTAATCTTATTGTCTTACTCTGAGCAATGGATGGGGGCTGTTCAGTGCTGCCTGAGCAGCTTTTAACTGAAGCCCAGTTAATACAAATGTGTGTGTGTGCTGGTGTTTGCTTTTATCCCTGTAGTTCCCTAGCTGAGAGGCATTCAGCAAAGTTTATTGTCACGTCATTTGTAAAATATGTACTTGTTGCATTTGAAACTATTTGTTTAGCTGGAGGCCAAGCTAAATGACTGTACTAATTAACCTGATGTGAAAGAGGAAGAATTACAGCTGAAGTGCATGAAATAGCCTGTGCATTGCATACCTAGACATGTTTAATACATGAAAACAAACACAAGCCCAATACCCTCCTTTTAGTATTAATCTAAAGTAGAGGTTCCCAAACTTTTCTTATTGCATACCCCCTTCCAGATCGACCAGCTGCCTACATACCTCCTTCCAGATCTACTAGTTGCCTGTGTTCCCTTACCTGTCTGACTACTGATACTTTGTGTTCTTCTTAACACTGCCTGTCTTGAGCCATCTGCCCATATTTCACTGTTGTGTACGAATAGAGTTATAGTGTGATGTATACAATTGAAAAAAAACAACCCTGACTAAGTTCTGAGGTCAGTTAAACTGGATAGTTGCTAGGCAACTGAACCCGCACTGTACGATGATTGGAGGTGAGGGCTCTGTATGTCAGCGTCTCCATGTATCTGTGTTCTCATTGATACATCTTAAAGTCAATTAACTACCATATTTTATAGAGTAAATTCCCACCGAGTTTTAAAGCTTTGTCTGAGTAGTCTATTAGAGAATACAATAAATAAAATAATTAATAAACCCACCATTATACAATTTCTCCATCGTACCTCCCGGAGTATATGTACCACAGTTTGGGAATCTAAAGCATTGGTTCCATGGAGGTAGAGAGCTGGTTGAAATATTCAACTGAGATGTCCAGTGTTTTTAAAGCTATAAAACTAATTAGGTCACCCTTAAGTCATAGAATCATAGAATATCAGGGTTGGAAGGGACCTCAGGAGGTCATCTAGTCCAACCCCCTGCTCAAAGCAGGGCCAGTCCCCAATCTTTACTCCAGATCCCTAAATGGCCCCCTCAAGGATTGAACTCACAACCTTGGGTTTAGCAGGCCAATGATCAAACTACTGAGCTATCCCTTCCCCCAAGTCAATGGGACTGTTAGCCAAGCATCCTTGAGACTATTCTATGTTGTTAGTCTTCTCTCTTAGCTAGGTGCCCCAAAAGACTCCCTTTATCTATTGCATACTGGATATTTCACTTTCTCAGCGCCGTAATTCTTCAGAAGTCCGCACAGTTTAGCGCCGTGGGGAGGACGGGTACCTCGGCCTGTGTCTATGCTACAAGTGCTACAGCAGCGCAGCTGATGCACTACCTACATCAACAAAAGGGGGGTGGTGGTTTTGTTGGTCCGGGTAGTTAATCCTCCTCTCTGAGAGGGGATAGCTAAATATAGCTGCATCTACACTGGTGGTTAGAGTGCCCGAACTACTGCATGTGGGGCAAAATTTTTCACAGCCCTGAGTGTTGTAGCTCGGTCAATACAATATTTAAATATGGACCAGGCCTTAGAGTTTGTTATAGGGCTCCTAACGCATTGTCTTCCAGATGAACCTGTCTCCAGCCCGATGGTTTCATCATTTCAGCTTGATGGTTATTGAAAGCTCTTTCCATCAGGTGGATGCTTGCAGCCCGTATTAAATTATTTGGTGTCCTCCGTCTGTTAGTAGGTAGGTATCCCTGTTACAAAAAACACCAACGTAATGGACAGTCTCAACACAGGCCAAGGACTGCATGGATTGTGGAGACTGAATTAGCCATTTGTTCCCAGGTTAAAGTACGAGGTGGAGCAGGATGGGGGTTGCCCAGGCTGCGCCTGATTTGTGAGTAAAGTACTCAATCTTAAGTAGTTCTCATCAGCATAAAATAACTTTAGGGGGTAAAAAAAGAAAAAATAGAATCACTCACAAGTGTTTTCCTAGTTTGGTGTTAACCTTGCTACCTGGCTCTTCAGTTTAAAAGTTATTTCTTTCTAGAGAAAGTGGTTGCAAGGTAAAAGTGTGAATTCCTAAACAAAGCAGTAGCTTTCACTTCACCTTTCTAGTGGTTTAATACGTTGTCATGACTTATGAACAGTGCATATAATTGTTGTGTTTCATAACCTGTTCTGGGTCTGTCTCAATTGAAGTGAAAAATTATGTAGTACAGCTTAGTTGTTGCAAAACATTTTACATGGTAATGTAATTTACATACATGATAGGAGTCCAGGAAGTCAGCATTGCCCGGTCTGTGTTGACACTTTTCATGACCTTACAAGACCTTGAGTGGAGAGAAGGAATAGGGAGTGGAGAAAGAGAGACGGTGAGTGGTTGTTTTGTCTTTTAAAGTAAAAAGTGGAGCCCCTTTACGAATAAACACAATTTGCAAAATCAAATAACCGTTTTTAGATTGTTTCTTTAAACACCATCTGTTTGAGAAACGCTTATTTTAAATGTAGCCTGCAAGCTTCTTTTTTAACATCATCAGTGCTGATAAAGAGCTTGATACAATATCTCGGTGACAATGGGGACATTTCTTTCTTTTCATACTTATATGTTTAAAGCCAGATAATCTATCTTGCTGGATATATTGCAGGAAAAGTATTGCACTTGAGCTGCCTAAGAGATCCAAGAGCTTAGTACCTTATACTTCTCTCTCTCTCTCTCCCTCTCTTCCCCCCCACTTCCTCCTCCAGGCGTTGCCTTAAGACCAGCTCATCAAGTATTCCCTCATCCCTAATAATGCCCAATGTCGTCTTTGCATGTGTTTGCCATGTCGTACTTGGACTGTAAATTAATCTGGGCAGTAAATATATGGGTTTAATTCTGATAGTTGAAGCCTTATATGGCAGCCTGGGATTGAATTTACCCTGCTAATGTGAGTTAAAAGCTAAGTTGCCATGTCTTCACTGCTGTTTTAACCTGAGGTAAGAACATACCTTTTTTTTGTACGTAGACACAGTGTGTGTAGTACAGCACCATTGAATTGCCGCTACCTTAGAAAATGGCATTCTGAATGCTGCACAGCATTGGTAGGATGACAAATTCTGGCCAGGGCATCAAGACAAAATACCACTCTTATGAAAATTGCCATGGCATCTTCTCGTGTCCATGAGGACCAGACAGCTTCTCTTCTTAAAGGGCTTGTCTACACTTAAAATACTGCAATGGTGCTGCTGTAACACTTTAGTGAAGATGCTACCTACCCCGATGGGAAGACTTCTCCCATTGGTGTTGGTACTCCATCTCCCCCAGAGGCTGTAACTGTGTCAGTGAAGGAAACCCTCCTGCTGTCTACACTGGGAGTAAGGCGGATATAGTTGCGTTGCTCGGGGGTGTAGAAAATCCACACTCCGAAGCGATGTAGTTATACCAATGTAAGTTGCTAGTCTAGACCAAGCCAAACTTTCATATGAAAGACAGCTAATTGAATGGATCTCAATTCATTTACCTAAGAAGGAACATGGACTAAGTTGACTTTGGTAGGATTTGAACCTGTGATTCCAAGGAAATGAGATGTTTAAATCTTAATGCTTGGCCTCCTACATCATATCCTCCAATTTAGGAACCACTATCCATTAATGTAAATATATTATGCACAATTCTATTTTTATTAATTTATTTTTACACACAGGAAGATTTTTAATTTTTGTTTTGTCTTCAGTTTGTAATTTTCATATGCAAATGTCTCTAGTTGGGTTAAGAATGACCTCAACAGTGCATGCTTATCATTACCTTTGGCTCACTTGACGTGGTTTGGCTTGTGTTGAAGCTCAAGGCTGGAGACTTACAAGGAGGAAGAAGCCAAAACAAATATAAACACTTTTGAGGACTCTTTTTCTCTCCCTGTTCAGGTTATAAAATTGCTGTGTGTCTGATGAGCTTTCCCACTAGCATTAATCTCTGCAAGAGTGAATCAACAGGGGTTTTCTCCTTTCTTTTTTCTTTTTTGGTTGAGGGAAAAGAGGATGATTGAACGAGCTTTTGGTGAATGTAAAAGCAGTATATTCTTTCTTTGGATCAAACGTCTTTTCTGACCTGACAGACAATCTGCAAAGAGGAGTTTATAGAAGTCGGAGGCACTTAAATATGATTAGCTGTTAACCTAAAATGTTTCATTAATTTGGATCCTTCACTGGAAGAGTTCTCTGGGCATCCTGTTGCATGTGCTTAACTACAAACACAGGGTTAGGCTTAAAGTTAAGCACATTAATAAATGTTCTGCTGGATTGAGACCTTAGTTTCTAATTCCTTCCCTCCATCATTTTTTCACCTGTAGGACTTAAACTTGATGGATCATCATTTTGTGCTGTAGAACAGAAGCATAAGCTACATATTTAAAAACCAGTAGTTTCTCCCTTTGATTTGAGGAATCACAGAATTGTTCTTTAATGTTGGAAAAAGGAGAAAATTAACAGGAAAAATTACAAACTTTCAATACAGATACAGAGAAAAAACCTTTATTTTCCGAGTGTTCTTGCCATTCATAATGATAAAATTTTAGAATTTGCCAACACTGACTCCAAATTTGCCAAGCATCTGAAAATTCAGTTAACTATACAGAGTATTGCCACATCACTGTTACTCCACTGCTCTGGGTTCTGTGAGGTTTGAATTCTTTCATTTTCATTACATGATCGTTGCTTTGTAAGATCAAAACCATGGGAGGCAGAACCCATTTTTACAAAACTTGACCAACATCTCAGATTTTCCATCCTCAGTTTTAAATGCCTGTAATTTTTCTTAGAGTATTTTTTTAAATGAACACTTCCCCGGACCCCCATACTCAATCTCCCCAACCTTTTTGGGGTCTTACAATGAGGGTGGCTTTTTAATATATTATTATAAATTTGTACTTATGATGAATTATGGAACAGTGTATTGGAGAAGAGTAGAGTGTAATGGGATAAGAAGAACATAAGAATGGCCATACTGGGTCAGATCAATGGTTCATCTAACCCAGTATCCTTTCTCTAACAATTGCCAGTGCCAGATGATTCATAGAGAATAAACAGAACTGGGCAGTTTTGTGTGATCCACCGTCTGTTGTCTAGTCCCAGCTTCTGGCAGTTGAAAGTTTAGGGACACCCAGAGCATGGGTTTGTGTCCTTGATCATCGTGACCATTGATGGACCTATCCTCCGTGAATTTACCTAATTCTTTTTTGAACCCAGTTATACTTTTGGCCTTCACAACATCTGCTGGCAATGAGTTCCACAGGTTGACACTGTTTTGTGTGACGAAATACTTCCTCATGTTAATTCTAAATCTGCTGCCTATTAATTTCATCAGGTGACTTCTAGTTCTTGTGCTGTGCGAAGGGGTGAATAACACTTCCTTATTCACTTTGTTCATGCCATTTTGCCGCTATCCTTGAAGCACAGCCATCAGTCCCATCAGTAATCCAGGATTTGGCCTGTTCTTCTGATGAGTCAGAGGCTCCGCAGAAGTCTCTGGGGCACTGAGGAGAGGTGGCCCCAGACAGAAGGCCTAGAAGGTCAGGGTTCTAACCTCCAACCAGACACAACTGGCCAAGGGCTTGATGGTATTCTGTGCCATAGGTTCCCCCCCACCAGTGGATCCATCTTACTGGCAATATTGGGGACTGTGGGAGTCCTAATCCAGACAACCAGGATCAGTGCATGATTCCTGCTTGCCATCACCCGGCCATACGCAACCAGCTCCATCAGCATATTCGGAGGAGGAAGGAGAGCCGGTTCCAATGGCTCTGGGAACAATCTTGTCATCAAATGAGCTGGTCACTCCTACTCCTTCTCTGCCAGAACAACACCAAGAACTCATGCACATGATAGTGGCAGAAATACAAATCTAGCTGGAGGAAATTCAGGATTCTTAGCACAGCTTACTAGACGTTCTTCAGCCCTCTGATCCCAGTCCAGTGGCACTCCCTATCAATGAGGCCATCATAGACCCATTGTGTTTTTGAGGGACATACCCTATTCTAGAGATATATAGAGCAGCTACTTGGAGCTCTTTGCGGACTTTCACAAGATATGACGCCCTGGTACAGTCATCAGCTGTGGATACGGCTATGGGGACAGCAGGACAGCAGTACTGCAGTCAGCTGTCACTTCTGTGTCCCTGCACCCATCTCCTATCTGACTACTGCTTGTTAATCTCCCACACGTGGAATTAACGTAGGGACCATCACTCAAAGAAGAAATGGAGGTTACTTACCTCTGACTGGAGGTTCTTCGAAATGTGTGGTCCCTATCTGTATTCCGCTACCCGCTTTCCATCTCCTCTGCTGCAGTTGGGAATGGGAAACTGGAGAGGCCTTGGCCCACACTGCCCTTAGTGCCCTGGGTGAGGAGGGCTAAGGCATGTGTCCCAGACAATGGACACTGCTTACAAGAAATTCCAGATGCAGGCACATGGTGCTCATGTGTATCTCACATGTGGAATACATATAGGGACAACACATCTTGAAGAACCCCAATTACAGGTTTGTAACTCCATATCTCTTTCTTGAGAGGTAACAGCTAATTTAGACCCCATATTTTGTATTTACAGTTGGGATTATTTTTCCAATGTATATTACTTTGCACTTATCAACATTGAATTTCATCTGCCATTTTGTCATCCGGTCGCTCAGTTTAGCGTTGTCCCTTTGTAACTCTTCGCAGTCAGCTTTGGACTTCGCTATCTTGAGTAATTTAGTATTGTTAACAGATTTTACCACTTCACTGTTTACCTCTTTTTCCAGATCATTTATGAATATGTTGAACAGCACTGGTCCCAATAGAGATCCTTGGGGGACCCAGCTATTTACCACTCTCCATTGTGAAAACTGACCATTTATTCCTACCCTTTGTTTCCTATCCTTTAACTGGTTACTGATCCATGAAATGACCTTCCTTCATATCCCATGGCTGCTTAGTTTGCTTAAGAACCTTTGATGAGGGACCTTGTCAAAGGCTTTCTGAAAATCCAAGTACACTATATCAAATGGATCACCCTTGTTCACATGCTTGTTGACTTCCTCAAAGAATTCTAATAGATTGGTGAGGCATGATTTCCCTTTACAAAAGCTGTATTGACTCTTTCCCAACATACTATATTTCTTTTATGTCTGGTAATTTTGTTTTTTTACTATAGTTTCAATCAATTTGCTTGGTACTGAAGTTAGGCTTCCTAGTTTGTAAGGATCACCTCTGGAGCCTGTATTTAAAACAGGTATCATATTAGCTATCCTCCGGGTACAGAGGCTGGTTTAAGAGAGAGGTTATATACCACAGTTAGTAGTTCTGCAATTTCATATGTGAGTTCTTTCAGAACTCTTAGGTGAATACCATCTGGTCCTGGTGACTCATTAGTGTTAAATTTATCGATGTGTTGCAGACCATTTCTGTTGATACCTCAATCTGGGATAGTTTCTCAGATTTGTAATCTAAAAAGAATGGTTTGGGTTGGGGGATCACCCCTACATCCTCTGCTATGAAGACCACTGCAAAGAAATCATTTAGCTTCTTCACAACCGCTCTGTATTCCTTGAGTGCTGCTTTTTGTACCTTGATCATCCCATGGCCCCATTGACTGTTTGCCAGGCTCCCTGCTTCTGATGTACTTAATTTGTTTTCTGTTAGTTTTTGTGTCCATATCCAATTTCTCTTCACATTCTTTCTTGGCCTGCCTTATTATTCTTTTTACACTTAACTTGTCAGAGTTTTATGCTTCTTTCTGTTTTCCTCACTAGGATTTGACTTTCAATGTTTTTAAAATGCCTCTTTGCTTCTACCTGCATCTTTTACTGTGCTGATTAGCCATGGTGGCATTTTTTGGTCTCTTACTGTTTTTTTTTAATTTGGGGTATACATTTAGTTTGAGCCTCTATTGTGATGTTTTTAAATACTCTCTCTGCAGTTTGCAGGCATTTCACCCAGGTGACTGTTCCTTTTAACTGGCTTTCACATTTTTGTATAGTTCCCCTTTTTGAAGTTAAATGCTCCTGTGATGGGTTTCTTTGGCATTTTTTCCCCTACAGGGATATTAAATTGTTTTACATTATGGTTGCTATATTCACCTCTTGGACCAGATCTTGCATTCCCAGTAGGACTAAATCAGGAGTGGCTGCTCCCCTTCTGGGTTCCAGGACAAGCTGCTCTAAAAAACCATCATTTAATATGTCTAGAAATTTTATCTCTGCATCCCTTCCTGAAGTGATATGTACCCAGTCAATATGGGGATAGTTAAAATCCCCCATTTTTATTGCGTTTTCTGCCTTTGTAGCCTCTTTGATCTCTCTGAGCTTTTCACAGTTACTGTCACCATCCTGGTCAGGTGGTCAGCAGTATATTTCAACTGCTATACTTGTATCGTTCAGGTGTACATTTCTGTCCATAGAGAGTGTCTGGTTTGATTCATTTAAGATTTTTACTTTATTTGACACTATGCTTTCTTTCACATTTCGTGCCACTCCTTCACTAGTCTGACCTAGTCTGTTATTCCTATGTATAATGTATTTTTGTATATTTGTTCTTAATTTCGGCATCCCATCACCTAATTCCCATTGGGCACCCAGTTACATTAACTTTCTATGGGAGTCGCATGCCAATGCCCTTAAGAGTTTTTGAAAATCCCATTCTGGGTGATTGACAGAAATAAAACGGAGACAAAAGAATCAAAGGCAATACAGTCAGATAAAAACCAGTGCCAGAATTAAAATCTGTCTTTTCCAGATCTGTCTTTCAGCTTGCTATGAAAATTAGGTTAGGAATTTATTTTCTTTGCATGAAGGACCAGGCCTGCACATGTTATTACTGACTTCCATTGAAACAATACAGATAATCAGTTAGAAAAGGATTAAGTAAAAGTGAAAGCAGGTGCAGAAGGCAGGCATAGACATGGGGTAAATACCTGACAAGAATGAGTGATCCATTGTAGCTATGGGACACCTTTTACCACAGGAAAGGAGATTATATATGCTTTCCTTTGTGGGTGACCCTGACGCCTGACTCATGGTTTGCCCTCTGGCCTGTCCCAGACTCTGACCCTCTGGGACCCAACTCAGCCTAACTCCTGCTCTGACCACTAGATCTGACCACCCATGACCCAGTTCTAACAGCTCACTTCTGCATCTACTCTGCTACAAAATACCACACTCTCTCCTAGAAACCAAGATTCGGGGGGGCATGTTTCCAGCCCCTTACAGAATTGGACATGTAACTGGCTGGGTTCTCTCAAATCCAAGAGCTCCAGCTGCCCAAAACATCAGCCATTTTGTGTGTCTCTTAAAATCAGCCTGCAGGTTTGGCTTCTCATTTGGGCAATCCAAATGGCTTGTTGTGACACATCTGTATTCAAGAGCTTGCTGGACAGAACTGCCTTTTCAGGGCAGTTTTCCCACAAGTGCATATTTCTATGTGGTAGGTGGCTGGTATACACAGGAACAAGCAACTGCTTTGAGTCAACTTCCTTATCTGTTAGAGTTCCGATTCCATTGAAGTCAGTGGGAGCTTTGGGTGTGTAAGGAGAGTCAATTTGAACCCATGATTAACTCTGTGACAGATCATTCTTCTTACAGTCTGTCTGATATGTAATATATATATGTATTGCTTTTATTTTATCACAAAGTGTGCAGATGGATTTATGCACTTTTAAATAGCATATTCTCTAATTTGAAGAAAATAAAAGGAACCCCCATCATTTTACATGTAAATCTGGGGCTAATCTGTTGTTTTTGATCTGCAGCCAACTATCCTGTTACATACTGGGTAATATTCCCATCAACTGCATGCTATATATTACGAGCATCAACAATGTACAGTACACTTTTCAACTAAATTTTAAACTTTAAAGTTCAAAAAATAAAATAAAATAAAAATTACAAAACAATGAATGTCTTACCTACCGTATTCTCTAGCCTGATCAGACTTTTAGAAAAGGTGAAAATAGTCAACATTTCTGCTATATGTTGCTCTCCTTTTAAAAAAAAGAAAGGTGAAGGTTTGTTTGCAAAGCAATACATTGAATCTGACTTGTGTTTAAGAATTTAATTCGTTCCACAACAAGCAATACTGTTGTAAAACTTGTGGAAGTGGGAGAGAGGAGAGAATGCATATCTGCCAAATGGAAAGGAACTCTGGGTAAACTCTGCTGATCTTTGCTTTAATAACTGAACCTTTAACTTGAAGAAAACATGGGTAAAAACCCCATTGGTTTCAGTGTGTTACAAAAAAGGAGAGTGAGAAACATCAGTGTGTCCTTCTGTTGTTCTGGAGTTTTTCACAAACAGTGGTTGAACAGTAAAAAAATTGTATTTTATTTTTGTTTAAGATTCAGCAGAGAGGTAATGTTTTGTTTTCTGTTTTTAAAGCGAAGTAAATGTCAGAGACTCAGCTTTTTTTTTTTTCATTTCAATAGCGTTCAAGTCCTTTTATCAAGAAACCTCTGCAAGAATTAAAGACTGTGATTAGATTAAATAGGAAGTTACTATGCTGGTATTGCAACAAATTTCTTTTGTTTTTGTTTTCAAAAATATCAGACGAATTTAAAGCAATACCTTGGTTTAATTGCTGAGATTTTTACATGTCAGAACCAAACTGCTACTATTTGGAATAAGAAAAACCGTGAAAGGGTTTTTCAAGTCAAGTCTCTGGGGACAATTTAATAAACTGAAAAAGGAGTATTAATTGAAAGACGTGATAATTATCTGAAAGTAATGCAAATTGTGTGTAATGTACAGTAGAAACTCACTAATTGTGAGGCCTGTTGTGGATCATTGAATTTTGTGAATTAGCTAATAAGTGAATTTTATATAAAAACAAAATCAAACATTCTATATTCACAGAATTTATATTTTCCTACATTTGTATTGACAAGTATGGGTTTGAGGTTTTTAAAAAAAGTTGTCTGTATATCATGTATTTAGTTACAAATAAATTGTAGTACCTCATGGTCTATTATATTGTGTATATATATATATTTTGGTTCTTGAAGAAATATAGTACTCATAGCCATTTATCTTCAAAGGTGCTGTTCCTTGCAATATAAAATAGTCAATCAATTCTAAAGGTAGATGTTCTTAAAGGCAATCCATGTTCCCTCTGTAGAGGTAGCGATTGAGTGTTTTGATTTTAATTCTTTATAAGAATTTTTAGCACAAATGAATATGTACTTTGCTGTAATTTGTAAAAGCAGAAGTGTTAGTAAGATGAGCCCTTATTAAAGATCTACTCTAACTCCCTACTGAAGGCCATGTGCCTCTTCCCTTTGATTTCAGTGCGTGTGTGACTGGGCCTGTAAAATGCTATATTTACTTCTCAGTAAATGTTCAATAGCAGAGTGAGACTATTGGACAAAATTTTCAAATGTGGTTAAAAGTTTGGTTTAGTTAGGTTCCTCAGTGGCTTAGGCTTCTAAGTCACTTATGCATAAGGCTGCAATTTAGTCCTGGAATCCAGTGCCGGCTGGGAGCTGCAGGGTTCCCTGCCGCCTGTGGAGGCAGGGAACTGCAGGCAGCAGGTGGACCACTATAGCTCCTGGGCAGCAACGGGGACCCCCACAGCTACTGGCCACCACGGGCTGCAGAGGGAACCCCTGCTGCTCAGAGCCACCAGCGAAGGGGGATCCTAGAGCTCCGACCCCCCACGGATATTTTTAGTAAAAGTCAGGGACGGGTCATGGGCTTCTGTGAATTTTTATTATTGCCCTTGACCTGTCCATGACTTTTACTAAAAATATCTGTGACAAAATCTTAGCCTTACTTATGCACTTTGAAAATTAAACACACAAATTAGCGGCCTGATTTTCAGAGGCACTAATGTAGTCAAATTGAAGTCAATGGGCTCTGTGGGTGTTCAGTACCTCTGAAAATCTGGCAGTTAATATTGGTGCCTAAATATGGAGTCATAAGGCCTGGATTTTCACAAGTATCTAGTGATTCTAGGTGCCTAAATTTTGGTGCCCAAGGGAGATGCTGTACATTCAGTTCTAAATGTTACAATTACTGGTTTTACGGCACTTCCTGCAGTGATCATTGTGCTTTTTTTTTTTTTTTTTTTTAATCCACAGATGATGGTTACTGTACTGCATGATGCTAGCCACAACTGTGGATTCTGGAAGAGGAGGGTGACGAGCAGAGGTAATTTCCAGGGAAGGAAAGGAAGAAAAACAATCTGCAGAGAAAGATACGACGCAATCCTGTGGCTGGAGGTTGAAGCTAGACTGGAAATTCCGAATGGAAATAAGGTGTACATTTTTAACAGTGAGAATAGTTAACCATTGGAACCACTTACTAAGGGTTGTGGTGGATTCTTCATCACTGGCCATTTTTAAAATTAAGGTGGGATGTTTTTCTAAAAGATGCTCTAGGAATTATTTTGAGGAAGTTCTATGGTCAGTGTTATACTGGAGGGCAGAATAGATGATTACACTGATCCCTTCTGGTCTTGGAATCTATGAATCTATGAATGGACAGAAAAAGTTTCAACTCCACCCAATAATTTTCTTGATTAGGGGGAAAACAAAAAAGTTCATGACTAAAAATGTTTGTATTCAGGGAATTGTGTCAAACTGACTCTGATAGCCATCTTTAGTATGAGCCAAGGTAGAACCAAGCTCAGGAATAATAGTCCTAAATTATTTATACTATCTTGCCTGGTCCTGATTTTGGAGGGACAGGCTTATAATTACCCAGGTTCGCTTTGCTAATCCTTTTTAAATAATGGCACAGCATTAGCTTACTTCCAGTCTTCTAAAACTTCTCCTGTGTTCAAAAACTTATTGAAAATCAGTATTAATGGTCCAGTGAGCCTCTCAGCCAGCTCTTTAAAAACTCTCGGATGCAAGTTATCTTGAACTGCTGATTCAAAAATGTCTAACTTTAGTAGTTGCTACTTATCATCCTTATATGATACTAGTGGAATGGAAAGAGTGTCATCATATGGTGAGACTGTTATGGTTTTTTCCCCCCTAAATACAGAACAGAAATATTTATTGAACACTTATGCTTTTCCTGCCTTATTATTGACAATTCTATCATTTCCATCTAGTAATGGACCAGTACCTTTGTTAGAATTTAAAAGTATATTAGGAACAAAAAAGAATCCTATCTTATTGTCCTTACATCTGCTGGTAATAGACTACTCCTGGGGGAATTCAGCACCAAAAAAATTTAAAAATTCTGCACAGAATATTTTAAAATTGCGCAGATTTTATTTGTCAAAATAACACCACAGAATCATACCAGTTTCAATTATTTTGGTAATTTATTTCAAAATACCTCTGTTTCTCTGCCCCCCTCCCCCACAGAAGCCTGCCAGGGGGCCAGACATCCACAACCCCTCCCGCCAGAGCCCAGCTGTGGGGACATCTACAACCCCCCCCCCCGGCCAATACACCCAAACTCCCTCCCCCCAGAGGCCAGATGTGGGGCCCCCTTGTCCAGGTACCCACACCCCCACCCCACAGAGCCCAGTCACAGGGCCACCCCTAGACCAGACACCTGCCCCCATACCCTTCAGAGCCCAGGGATCCAGAGGGAGAAATAGCCTGATGCTTGGTCCCAGGCTTGTGTAGAGTTTCCTGTGCGCTGCCATCTCCTTCTCTCAGAGCGCGAGGGGAACTGCGGCCGCCGGGTACTCTCAGCTCCTCTTCCCCCTCCTCCTGGCAGTGTCTTCTATGTGTGAGCTGGGCTCTGCCAGGTCCAGTGGCCCGTAGTGGTGGCGAGCAGCACTGCAGCCCATTTCTGTGTGAAAGCCAAGGGGAAAGAGCTGGTTCTGAGAGATTTCCTGTTTGCAGGTGACGCAGCCTTGGTTGCCCACAGTGACTCTTCCCTGAAAAATCTCTTCGGTAGATTTTCTGTGTTATGCAAGAGCTTCAGCTTAACCATTAGCTTCAAGAAGACTGATCAGTGACGATGAGATGGTCGAGTTCTGGATCCTGACACAGGGAAGAAAGGAGAGCAGCAGAATACGGACCCTGGACTTCAGAAAAGCAGATTTTTGACTCCCTCAGGGAACTGATGGGCAGGATCCCCCGGGAGAATAACATGAGGGGGGAAAGGAGTCCAGGAGAGCTGGCTGTCTTTTAAAGAATCCTTATTGAGGTTACAGGGACAAACCATCCCGATGTGTTGAAAGAATAGTAAATATGGCAGGTGACCAGCTTGGCTTAACAGTGAAATCCTTGCTGATCTTAAACACAAAAAAGAAGCTTACAAAAAGTGGAAGATTGGACAAATGACCAGGGAAGAGTATAAAAATATTGGTCGGGCATGCAGGAGTGAAATCCGGAAGGCCAAATCACACCTGGAGGTGCAGCTAGCAAGAGATGTTAAGAGTAACAAGAAGGGTTTCTTCAGGTATGTTAGCAACAAGAAGAAAGTCAAGGAAAGTGTGGGCCCCTTACTGAATGAGGGAGGCAACCTAGTGACAGAGGATGTGGAAAAAGCTAATAATGTACTCAATGCTTTTTTTGCCTCTGTCTTCACCAACAAAGTCAGCTCCCAGACTGCTGCATTGGGCAGCACAGCATGGGGAGGAGGTGACCAGCCCTCTGTGAAGAAAGAAGTGGTTCGGTACTATTTAGAAAAGCTGGACGAGTACAAGTCCATGGGGCCAGATGCGCTGCATCAGAGAGTGCTAAAGGAGTTGGCGGATGTGATTGCAGAGCCATTGGCCATTATCTTTGAAAACTCATGGCGATCGGGGGAGGTCCCAGACGACTGGAAAAAGGCTAATGTAGTGCCCATCTTTAAAAAGGGAAGGAGGAGGATCCTGGGAACTACAGGCCAGTCAGCCTCACCTCAGTCCCTGGAAAAATCATGGAGCAGGTCCTCAAGGAATCAATTCTGAAGCACTTAGAGGAGAGGAAAGTGATCAGGAACAGTCAGCATGGATTCACCAAGGGCAAGTCGTGCCTGACTAATCTAATTGCCTTCTATGACGAGATAACTGGCTCTGTGGATGAGGGGAAAGCGGTGGACATGTTGTTCCTTGACTTTAGCAAAGCTTTTGACACGGTCTCCCACAGTATTCTTGCCAGTAAGTTAAAGAAGTATGGGCTGGATGAATGGACTATAAGGTGGATAGAAAGCTGGCTAGATTGTCGGGCTCAACGGGTAGCGATCAATGGCTCCATGTCTAGTTGGCAGCCGGTATCAAGTGGAGTGCCCCAAGGGTCAGTCCGGGGCTGGTTTTGTTCAATGATCTGGAGGATGGTGTGTCTTGCACCCTCAGCAAGTTTGCAGATGACACTAAACTGGGAGGAAACGTAGATACGCTGGAGGGTAGGGATAGGATACAGAGGGCCCTAGACAAATTAGAGGATTGGGCCAAAAGAAATCTGATGAGGTTCAACAAAGACAAGTACAGAGTCCTGCACTTAGGATGGAAGAATCCCTTGCACCACTACAGACTAGAGACCGAATGGCTCGGCAGCAGTTCTGCAGAAAAGGACCTAGGAGTTACAGTGGACGAGAAGCTGGATATGAGTCAACAGTGTGCCCTTGTTGCCAAGAAGGCCAATGGCATTTTGGGATGTATAAGTAGGGGCATTGCCAGCAGATCGAGGGATGTGATCGTTCCTCTCTATTCGACATTGGTGAGGCCTCATCTGGAGTACTGTGTCCAGTTTTGGGCCCGACACTACAAGAAGGATGTGGAAAAATTGGAAAGCGTCCAGCAGAGGGCAACAAAAATGATTAGGGGACTGGAACACATGACTTAGGAGGAGAGGCTGGGGGAACTGGGATTGTTTAGTCTGCGGAAGAGAAGAATGAGGGAGGATTTGACAGCTGCTTTCAACTGCCTTAAAGGGGGTTCCAAAGAGGATGGATCTAGACTGTTCTCAGTGGTAGTGGATGACAGAACGAGGAGCAATGGTCTCAAGTTGCAGTGGGGGAGGTTTAGATTGGATATTAGGAAAATCTTTTTCACTAGGAGGGTGGTGAAACACTGGAATGCGTTACCTAGGGAGGTGGTGAAATCTCCTTCCTTAGAAGTTTTTAAGGTCAGGCTTGACAAAGCCCTGGCAGGGATGATTTAGTTGGGGATTGGTCCTGCTTTGAGCAGGGGGTTGGACTAGATGACCTCCTGAGGTCCCTTGCAACCCTGATATTCTATGATTCTGTGATCGTATACCAAAGGGTGGAAGAACCAATGCCTGACATAACTCTGGAGGGTAAATCTCATGGCATCGTAAACAGCTTTTGCTACGATTGGCAGGAATCTTGACCCTCAGACTGAACCAACAGGACTGGAAAAGCAGCTAAGAATTTTGGGGTATTCGAGAAATGTGCATGGAATAACAGCAAACGGTTGACTGAGGTGAAGATGCAAATCTACGAGACTCGTATGCTGTCAGAAATGTGGGCTACATGTGGTAGGCACAACAGGAGACTGAATAGCTTCCACATGAGATGCCTACACAAGATCCTGGAAATTAAGTAGGAAGACAAAATACCAAATGCAGAGGTGCTGGAGTGTGCAGGACTGACACATTTACAGACCACTATCAAGAAGAGGAGGTTGCAATGGCTCGGTCATGTTGGAAGAATGGGAGGAGACCATATCCCCAAGAATATTTTGTAAAGCGAGTTTTGAGATGGCTCTAGAAAGTGGTCGCTTTTTATGGTGGTACCACAATGTGTGCAATAATAATATGAAGTCGTTCAACATCAATGTAGAAGGCTGGGAGAAGTGAGCAGAATCCTGTCCAATCTGGAGGGACTATCCAGCAATGGGTGCAGCTCATCATGAAGCGGCTTTGACCCAGAGGATGAAAGCAAAGTGAGAAAGAAGGAAGTGTGCTGTAATCTTGAACTCCAACTCAGACAACCCATGGATCTGAAATTTATAACAAGCTGTGTCACTTTCGCATTGGACTTGGCAGGCACATGACTAGACCTCTTACGTGTACACCATGATCCAGTGGATCAACGGTTGCCTATGGTAGAACACTGTTCAGATCCATCCACACTGACCTATCAAATGCTATAATAAATCCTTTTAGTTGGAAGGGTCTTCAGTTTAAACACAGTTACAAACCTGGTTTAAAGATAGGAGCCTACCCACACTGGGCTAATGATCCTTACATGCTGTTTTGCTTTTTTCAGTTTCCAGGTTAAGCAGGGGCTCAGTAATAGAAGAGTCTTTAATGCTGTCCTATTCGTGAACCTACATTTTGAGACAGTGACCATTTTAGCAAAAAAAAAAAAAAAAAAAATTATAACTAAATGGAAGACACCATCTTAACTAAAAAAAATTAAGGACAAAGAGTGATTAGTACTAGGATACTTTCAGTGCTCTAAAATGAAACAATAATCCTGTAACAACTTTTTTTTTTTTTAGACACTTTAAAGAAGGCTGTTTTTCTGTCTTAGATGGTGGCCATGCAAAGAGATGTCTTCTTCTGGAAGCTGGTTTCACATGGTGGCTTAGATTTTCCCATCTTTGTATCTAGCACCATTTGAAATCAGTGTTCTAGGAGTAAGAATTACAACATGGGAAAAGAAGATCCAAGAAGCAGCTTGCTAACTTCATCAAATGGGTCAACTCTTCAGGTTAGTTTTAGACTGAGTGGCAAGTTTTGAAGCATCCCTTGTGTGTCAGTTTAGTTAGCTATTGGATTTGTAACAGTCACATTTAGGGTTGTTGCAAGGAAGAACTTCTCTGGAATGTATTTTTACCCAAGTAAGGATGAGCATAATGGGTGGGATCCACAAAGGTACTTACTGATTTCAATAGGAGTTAAGTGCTTTAGTTACCTTTGTGGATCCTCATCCTTCAAAGTGTCCACAGTGAAAACACTTATCAGGTTGTGTGAAGACTGAAGAGTGATTAGTACTGTATCTAGATAAGCAATATGGGAAGCTTAAGTGACTGGTATGATGGTTAATTTCATATATCCATTAGTGCCATAATAAATCATGGTATTTTAGCGCCTGCTTTTCAGTAGTGATAAAGTCAACGGGAACTGCAGGTGCTTATCTGGAACTGTAGGTACTCAGCACCTCTGAAATTCTGACCCCTTCTCTTTCCAGTAGGTGGTGGAAGCTCGTGTACTGAATATCAGGCTATTTTCTTGAGAAAGATGTTACCGTTTAAAAAACAAAACATCAAGGATTACTTATTTCCAGTAGCTCCTGTTACAAGTAAAGCCATAACCCTCCCATATTTAATGCAGACCACTGAAGATACTGAGGTCTACGGTAGGCAAGTTTCTTCAAACTGACTACGTTTCAGAGGCTTTTGTGGCTTATCCAGAAGCATCCAGTCAGACCATTGGTACAGCAGTCTTTTTTTTCAAACAGACCCGTGGCTGTGACCTAGAGGACTCCCCTCCTTTCAGCTGGGAAAACATCTCTTACACAGGCTGACCGATCTCTCTTGGTGTTCAGAGTTTGTTTTTGTCTAGCACCATTTGAAATCGGTTATGATGTAGGGGGAAAAGCAACACTAATGGAAACTCTCTTTTTCCCCTCTCCACAAGCACCTATATTCACATCACGGAGGTCCCAGAATGCTTTCAGCAAAAGTGTCATCTTGCACCGTAAGTGTGTGTATTAATGTCATACTTGTGCTTGTATTCTGTTGAACTGGTAGGAATAGTTTCAATGAAGGGTTCTGTGTTTTGGGTCACACATAGGGTAGTGCAGATTCTTCCTATTCAGTGGACAAGGAGGTGCAGGGGGGTGAGTGTATACACACATATATATATAAAAAAACCACCCTCCCCCACCTTCTTGGTGACTTACATTCAGCAAGCCAGTAAAACAGCTATTTGTCTTTCAACTGTGGGTGACCTACTTTGATTTAATTTTTCTTTTAAATCAAGATAGTATTGGCCTCTGGCTCATGTAAAGACTGACAGGTGCAAGCATGGTTTATTTTCACTCCTCCAGTCCAGTTTCCATCATCTTTAGTAACTGACAGTTAAATTTATATCTGAATACAACTCCCCTGATAGATTAATACTTGCAATAACTTGTGTTTAGATTGAATATTTCAAATGAAGTTAAAATTGAATATTACTTCATGCAATTTTAATTTATCTACTGGATGGTGATACGTTGCATCCCTGTAAGTCTAAAGTGAGCATAGTATAAAATATGTATGGAGTAGAGCTATGCAAGTAACTCATTTTTTGATTTATGACAACCCAAAATAGTATTTTTTTCCCCAGCACGATGATTGATGAACTGGATCAAACACTTTTAAAAGTAAAATTGAAATAGCAAAATCTGAAATAAGTCAGACTAGTAGTCACACAGCATGCTGCTTATTAAAAATCAAAGGAGAATGAGTGACAAACACTTCACTTAAAAATCATCACTTTATTAAGAATACAAGACAAATCCTTCTTGTGTTCATAAACTGAACATTAATAGTACTAAATAAGGAATATGGTTAAAATCACACTGTAGCATTTTACAATTGCCTTGCATTTTAAATAGCTCCCCCCCCCCGCCCCCTTAATGCTGAAAGGCACTATATAACAATCCAATGATTGATATAATAGGCATTTATAATAGGCATTTATAATATACTCTGTACTTAAAAAGCAATTCCTGGAATTAACAATTTTACCCCCAGTCTAACAATGTTTTCTTATACACATTGTGAATAGTCCCACTATGTAAGTCTTTGCAGGACCAGGGTCCTAGCTGTTAAAGCTATTTTGATAAGCAAAATGATTAGTACACATTTTGGGCAACATTCACAAAAGGATGTTTGCATCTAACTGCCACTTTAGGCAATTAAAGCCTAAACCCCAGAACGGTGTTTCAACCAGGAAAAGCGAGATGGTTCTCAACTCATCTGTGGGGCCCTATCAGGTAAGCAAGATCAAGGCCCTATAGATGAGCTTGCACAAAATGACTAGAGGACAGGGAAGAGGGGACAGATTTTCCTTCCAACTTTTAGCCCAGTGAATAGGGTACTCACTTGGGAGACCCATGGTTCAAGTCCCCCTTCCACCTGAGGAAGAGAAGGGATTTGAACAGGGATCTGTCACTGCTCAGTGAGTGCCCTAGCCATGTGGTAGGAGTCTTTCAGTATCTCTTGTTGAAACCTGTTCCACTGTGAATAATTTTAAGAGTCACTGGAGCAGATGCCTCTCTCTTAAGTGCATGCTCCCTTTTGCTGGACCAATGTAGAAGCTGTTGTATGATGGATAAATGTTGACTGAGCAGATGCAAGCTTGAGCAACACCCCAGGCTTCTTGCAAAAACAGTGTAGGTACTTTACACCCCAGGATTCACAGCAGGGAGGTACCAATCTCAGAGAGGGGTAGAGCTTAGCACATATGCCTTGGCTTTGTACCACCTATTGGCTACCTTATGCAAGGAGCATCTTAAAAACATGCTGGTTTTTGTGAATCCCATGCTCTGGCTTCTGATTCTCCCAATTCATTGCACAGCCAGCCTAGACTTTGTGAATTCCAGTGATTTTTCTGGACACTAAAAAGTTTTTGTGAATCTAGCCCTTCCTTGTTAAGCATACCCCACAGAATATTACTGTTTGATAGTGTGCTAGGGGATCAAAATTATTCAAACAAATGTTTCTGATCAGAAATGCTAAAAGTACTAATACAAATATATACATCCATATCACACAGAACAATGAATAGCTGAAATAAAAACAGACTTAAATTACATCCACTTCCTTCTGTGGGAAAGTGAACCTGTAACAGAACTGCCTAGATGGTCTGTGGTAAAAGAAAAAGGATTGGTTTATTAGCTTTGCCACACATGGCTATGACATAAACAGATCATGACAGTTTTCATAATGATACACATTTCGAGTTATAGCTGCTGAGTTCAATCCAAGCTTCAATTCAGAGCCCACCATATGGGAAAGTATATGATTTCAGATATGCACCAAGACCCCCAACTCCAGTAGGAAACCCCCTATCCAAGATCCCTAATGTAATAATTTTTTTGAGCTGTTTCAGCTGACAAGTGTTTGCTTGTCCTTCAGCAAGGGGGGAAAAAAGTCTGTCCTCATCCAACTTCCACCTCAAGATTGTCTTTATATTGCAATTAAAAGAGTGTATGTGCCTGCAATTTGTACAGTTGTGTGTATCTTCCATCACTTCCAGTGGGAAACCTTCATTATCTAGCAAGTCTGAGGCGCAAGAAGTGTTTCTGATGAGGTCACTCTCTTGATTCCCCATTCAAGGTGGTCCTTTGCAATCTTAACTGGGACAGAATTACTACCCAGACTCCCCCTGTTGCCCACCAAGACCAATTAATTGCCTTAAGAGGAAGGTTACAAAAACCTGGTTTAGATGCACAGTATATCCAAAAGCAGTGGACAGCAAGAGAAGTAGTTTAGTTTCATATTTAGTACTTGCAAATATAAAGGGAATGATGTGCAAAACTTAAGTTATGAAAATTAAACTAGGCACCATATCTTTCAGTAGGTAGTCACCGTCCTAAAATAGAGGTACTTAAATTTAAACAATATGGCCACTAATGCAACATAAATCATATCAAGAACCTACCACGCACTCTCTCATTGCCTAGTCTCTTCTGGAAGCAGGAGGATGCTGCAAGGCAGAGAAAGAAGGCAGCTGGCATAAAGCCCTGAATGCAGAGTTTTAGTATTCCAGGCTGCTGTGAAAAGGCTATGGGCACTAAACTTTGTATAAATTAATTTCACACAGACAAGTGAGCTAAAAGGGATGGTACTGGTATACATTCTGGCTTTGTGCCTTAGTAAAGATGCGGTAGATGTCTACAGCAGTCAATCACAAAAGGAGAAGAAAAATCTAAGATGAAAGCATCTTCAATTCTGGTGAAAGTAGGTGCTAAATATTCCACTACAGAAATATAGTGCAAATGCAGTCCTTTTTCCATCTGTGAAAGAATTCTTTCAGCACTGCTCCTTCCCCTCCAAGCAATCAAGTTTTACACGAGGTGTACTCAGCAGTAGGTGAAGTGGAGACATGTTTCCTGCAAAAACAAGAATTAGAATTTTTATTTTTCATATAATCTCATTTGTTTTAATTGGTAATTTAGCATATTTCTTCCTGTTAACAAAACTGGCAATATTTTCCAAGTCATCTTTTCTATTACTTCAGAGACATACTGGCTGCTGGTACACTTATAAAAAGTTAAAATGCAAATAGGCTCCTATGACGTTGGGGTGTTTTTTTTTTTTTTAAACTAAAGCAGTTATCAAGCTGTTAACATCCTGCATTTCTGCTCTCCTGAAATGCTTGTTATATATGGATTATTTTGGTTGAAGAGATTGTCACAATGTTGGTAACTACAAAACACTAACGCTGTTTATTTTACAATTAGCTAGGAATCCCATGCTCCTGAGAAGTCACTTCCTTAAGCATATTTAGGACTGTTGGAGACATGTGAACCAGTCGCATAAATTAAGAACCAAAAGCTGCATGGCTGTAAGGGATGTAATTTGTAGTCCAGACTATCCAACTTGAAACTAGATACCTAAAATTTATCAGTTACAATACAGAAAAGAGTTTAACCTTAATTTTTTTTAACTGAATAGCCTTCTAATAAACCTTTTGGAAGCAGCCAGGATTGAGATGTTAGATCTCCGGTCCATTACCACCACCTTCTTGGAAGCCATACTGAAGGATTTGAGACTGGGATAAAGGGAAACTCTGGTTTCAAAGGACTTGTTATCTCTGCATGTAAAACTGTCCAGCATTGGGATTGTCCAGCACTCAAGTGCACACCCCCTCCAGAGTGTAAACCCAAAATTGTATTGTTTTGTCTTGCACTGCACTAATATATATTAGTGTTAAAAAACACTGCCAGAACTTTGTCACCGCTGAGCACAGTGAAAAGCAGCAGGTTGGTCCCTTGTTCTGATAGGTTTGAAATATAACTGATGATTTTGAAATAAACATTTTGACTCAACTGAGGTGTAAGAATAACCACAATTGTTGCCAATTATACAGGTCCACCAGGTTTATCAATTAAAGTACAGTAGAACCTCAGTTATGAACTTGGGAATGGAGGTTGTTCATAACTGAAATGTTTGTAACTCTGAACAAAATGTTATGGTTCTTTCTAAAGTTTACAACTGAACATTGGCTTAATACAGCTTTGAAACTTTCCTATGCAAAAGGAAAAATGCTGCTCTTAATCATCTTAATTCATATGTAACAAGCATAGAAACAGTTTCCTTACTAAGTCAAAACTTTTTTAGACTTTCTATTTTTAGTAGTTTACTAAAAACTTTAACACTTTTTGTTTCGAAGAGGATGGTGATCAATTGTTCTCCGTGTCCACTGAAGGTGGACAAGTAGCAATGGGCTTAATCTGTACCCAAGGAAGATTTAGATTGGCTATTAAGAAAGACTTTCTAACTATAAAGGATAGTTAAGCACTAGAATAGGCTTCTAAGGGAAGTTGTGGAATCCCCATCATTAGAGGCTTTTGAGAACAGACAGGACAAAACTGTCAAGGATGGTCTAGTTGTACTGGTCCTGCCTTGGTGAGGGGGCTGGACTAGATGACCTCTTGCAGCCTCTTCCAGCCCTACATTGCTATAATTACTTCCTTGTAATAACGAAAGAGTATTTTATGAAAACAATTTTACTGAAAAACTTAAGCCACCAGTACTTTAAAATGAAAATCTGAAATATTTCATGCATGCCTTTAAAAAACCACTTTAAACCAAACTGCATCTGATAAGGACCACTGTACATCACCAGGTTTGAAGTGACAATATTTCTCCTTTATCAAAAGGAGGTAACACATGAGAATGAATTAGTCCAAAAAATACATACCATACAGGAAGACCTATGAAAGTAACTTGTGGTCTTCACCCAATACATAGCAGTTACATACCACATTTCCCTTGGAAATATGAATAAGCCATCTAATTTGGACATTTTCAAATGGAAAGGAAGCTTAAACTATACCTTTTAATGTTTCAATTAGTTCTTTAATGCAGATGCTTCAATTTCATCTGGTACTTTAGCCTTTAACATGCATGCTTCTTGGCCGTTTTCATCAGTTTGGTATGAGCTGAACAGCAGAGGAGGGGGAAGTCTAATTGATTAATATTCTCTATGCATGGTGAGTTAAGCCCAAGGGAGTGGAGGAAAGAGGGAAATAGCTGGTGAGATTATTTTTACAGGAGCCTTAAGTTTAGAAATTGAATACAGAGTTTGGTGCCTGCAGCGATTTCCAAAATAAGCTCTAGTCTATATCTAATATTGGAGTCAAAACAGTCTGTTGAATGGTCTCCATTTTCAAATCTCCCTGCCCTTCACAGAAGACAAGTGGGAGCATAAACCTCATTTTGATTTGTTAAAAATTAACCTGGCTCTTGCACTTAAAAAGTGTCAAAGGTTCATGGAGTCTAGTTAATGAAAAAAGCACATGGTGCGCTAATGCTCTGGATCCAGCAAAGCACTTAAAGGTAAATTCTGAAGTCAACCATACTATTCACCTGCTTAAAGTTGGGCATGTGTTTAAGTGCTTTGCTGACGTGAGGCTTAAGCCCTGTATTTTGTTCTTTACATCCCTTTGAGTTTCTCTACACTAAATATTTCTGAAAGTATGTTCTGTCCCCACTCCCCTCCCCCCATAAGATTCTAACAAATGCTTATCACCATCATAAAAAATAAATAACTTGTCCTAGAAAGTGGACCTCATGAAAAGTGTATGCAACGTATTACAAAGAGGAAACTCCTCATGAATTCAGTTAGGCTCCAGTCCTTACCTGAGAACTACATGGATGCAGGGCCCACTGTTCTCAGAGCAAGGTCAGGTTCTAATGTTCACCTTTTTTTTTTAATTTACAAAAATTACTTCTGCCACTATACAGGTTTGCTAGGAATCTATACAAATGAAATGTCAAACATTTGTATTTATTGGGTAGTTTCAAAATTTAAACACTATACATTTTTTTCTATACTACCTACTGTTTTGTATTTTGAATAGTATGAAAGTATTGTATAAAATAAAAATTGAACGTTACACATGCGTGCATGCTGTTTTAGCTTTCCCTTGTGTTGTGGGTGTGCAGGGGGATTTAATTTACCTGTTAAACATTTATTCAAATGGATTCTTGATGAGATGAAAAAGATACTTTTGAGGAACAGACAGACATGAAAAATAAAGTATTTTGAATGGACAAGCAATGGGTCTTACAGATTCTTCCCTACTGATGTCAGCTGCCCTGGAGGCAGCAGAGTTACAAAACCTGATGAGGATGGCACAAGCGTGTGCTACCATCTAAATTACTGGGGGAAAAACTGGTGTGCTTCTGAGCAGGGCACAGGCATATTCCTTCCACAAGAAAATTGTATTCCTAGGGTCCTGTGTCAGAACTAAGCCTACCTCAGAATGGCCATATTTAGTCAGACTAGCGGTCCATCTAGCCCAGTATCCTGTCCAACGGTGGCCAGTGCCAAATGCTTCATGGGGAATGAACAGAACAGGGCAATTTTAATAGTGATCCACCCCCTGTTGTTCAGTCCCAGCTTCTGACAGTTGAAAGTTTAGGGAACTTAGCCCAGAGCGTGGGGTTGTGTCCCTCACCATTGTGGCTAATAGCCATTGATGGACATCTCCATTAACTTAATTCTTTCTTGAACCCAGTTATACTTTTGGCCTTCATGGTGTCCCCTGACAATGAGTTCCACAGGTTGTCTGCAGTACTCCCTTACTAGTTTTCAACCGGTTGCCTATTAATTTAATCAGGTGACTCCTAGTTCTTGTGTTATGTGCAGGGGTGAACACTTTCTCCTCACCAGTCATAATTTTGTAGATCATATTCCCCCACCCCCAGCTGGGTCTTTTCCAAGCTGACTAGTCCCAGTCTTAATCTCTCCTCATACAGAAGCTGCTCCATCACCCTCATCATCCTTTGCTGCCCTTCACTATAGTTTTACAATTTTAAATATCTTTTTAAGATGGTGACCAGAACTGCATGCATCCTTCCATGTGTGGGTGTACCATGGATTTATGTAGTGGCATTATGAGCTTAAATGCCTTACTATATGGGAAAAGGCCATGTGCAGTCTTTAAGGTTAATTCACAGCTTTTATGTGGGTAATTATCAGAGCCAAGTGAGAACAGGTTCAACACTGAATTTGTAAAAGTAGATTAAAAGCTAGAATTTTTCATAGGTTAGTGAATACAAAGGCTAATGAAAGCTCAAGTAGCTACCATACTGGCTTATGCAAAAAGGAAAGGTATCAGGAAGCTGACAAACAAGCACAAGGAACAGGTGTAGACTTACCCTTTCTGTGAAAAAATTTTCTTATAGACCAAAGCTACTATCAGCATCACTGCAGCGATTACAATTACTTGAAAGGAAAAAAAAAAATTTAATTGGGTGACAAGTCACTGTTAGCTCAAGAACACACCCATGATTAACGAACGTCACAGGTTTAGAAATGAAGTTCATGATGCTTTTTAGCAATGCACGTGTTCAACCACAATACAATCTCCCCCCATCTCTGAATCTTTAATCAAAAAGTATTAAATACTCAGTGCTCAAAGGAACACACAGCTAGTGAACTTACCTCAGGGGAGAGGAAAAAGCAGACCCAAAATGGTAAAGCTGCACCCATTGCATTACAGGGAGCTTCACTGGCATTCTCTCTCTTTAAGAATTGCTGTGAACACCTGATCACAACCACCCGTGAAGGGGTTAAAATGGCTCAGAAGGGACTAATTAACCTGTTAGGCTGCATGGGACTTGGTTGACAAGCACTAATTGAAGATAGTGCCCATCTGGCAGGAGTAGGTGGGGCTTGTATAAAGCCAGGAAGGGCAAGCAAAAGGGCTGTAATGTGGAAGTTTGCAGTTATTGTTGGAGTTAGTGAAGACAGAAGGTGGAAACTCAGGGAAGTAGAAGCCCAAGACCTAGGCTCTGAGGGAAGGGTTTACTCAGAAAGGTGGTGGAGAAGAAAGCCAGCAGAGGGCAGTGTAGGAAGCAGCAGTAAGAGTTGAGATCGTGCAGACCTTGGCTCCTGATTGTAGGGTCCCTGAGCTACAAGCTGTAGTAGTGGGAGGGCCTGGGTTTCCTTACCAGCCACTGGGAGTGGCACAATCTTGAATCAAAAGACTGCCCGGAATGACACCTGGTCTGGTGACTTTGTTAACGTGAAAGGGGAAAGCTGTATGGTGATCTGGCTGGAGAGCCAAACAATGGAGAGGAAGCACTGAGTCCTAGAGACCAAGAGGGATGGTGCATAAGCAAGTGATGGAAGGGAATGTCAGCCTCAGCAGAGTTAATCCCCAGCTGCAACCACAAGGGGTAAGTAAACCTTGTGACTATGCCTAATGCTGCTTGTTAAAATAACCATGCTCTAGGGTGGCCAGAGAGTTGTGGCATTGAAGTAAGAATGCCAGAGAGAGAGTCCAAGAGAGGATCTTTTTGTTTTAAGCAGTCCACAAAATTTAAAAGTTGAAAACCAAGTACTAAAGAGGGAGGGAGAGAGGAGAAAAACCTTTTGTAAGATGGGGGAGGCACAGCTCGTTCATGATGGACCTGTTATTGCCTAATTATAGTTCCAACAAAACCCAACAGGTTCCAATACAAAGCCAAAAATGTGCTTCAAATTCTTTGCAGAATTTAACAAAAAAAATTTGCTCTGATTTTTATTACATAGATGACAAACAAGAAAAACCCCACTTTACATTAAAACTATGATTTATAGCAGTTGATGCTAATACACCTGATCAGTTTTTTCAGGAACTTTACAGCATTGCAAAGGAGTTTGCAAGTAATTCAGTAAGAGAAACTCCGAAATCACTGTACGTTCCTGCAGTCACATACAACGAATTGAAATAGAAGTAAAACACTGATTTTATACAGTGATGCTTATTTTATATTTCATGTATCTCATTTGGTGTTAATAAAGTACTTACCACAAATTATTATGATGTACACACCTAGAACAAAAAAGGGTGAATTCAATTTAAGAGCATGAATGGTAATTATACAAGGAGGTGTACATGTATTAATCTCTACTGGACTGTCTCCAAGAAAATCCAGCATAAGTGTTAAATTAGAACAAGAACCAATTAAAAATAAGACATACTGAATAGTCTTCCAAGTACTGTGTCTAGATAAATAAAATCTAATAGAAGGCTAATTTATATAATAAAACTCTCAAATAGAAAGGGATTAGCCATGTCTCACCCCAAACTCTTTAAACAATGTGCGTTAACAATACCTCTTAAATGAGAAAGTGTCCCCAAGTGACAACTTCCTGAATCCCAGATAGCATTCGGGTGTCATACAATATGAAATATGCATTTTTTTTTGCAAAATGTTTTTTTAGAATTTATCACATTTATACTTACGTAGTCTACATTCTGGAATTACAGGCTCCCATTTAAATTTATCAGTGCAATGAATCGTAGGTTCACCAGGCATTGTGTAGGCTGCATAACATTCAATTGTAACATGATCTCCAACAACATAATGAGGTTTTGCTCCAGACTTTACTCTTCCATGAGAGATGACCAGGTCTGGACAAACCTCTGAAGATGAAAAAGTGAAACACACACTTGTTAAAACAAAGTAATACGAAACCCAAGTGCAAATGAGATTAGGCTTCCCATTTTAAAAATATTTCCATTCACATGCATTTTAAAATACATACCCCATTGAATCTTTCTGCTACTTTTAAGATGTTTGGTTAGAACCAAACACATTTCAGAGCACCTGTTCTGTAACTTACTCAACATTTTTCATGTTTGTCTACTTTGCACCGATTTACTGAAGGAGTGGAAAACAGCCACATTATGTAGACAGGAATCTTACAGTCTCACGGACCTGTTTATTTCCAGTGATTTACTATTATTTATGTATAGGCATTTATACAATGCTTATCCTAACAAATGAGCTAATGAGAGGCACTGGAAGAGTTAAAATAGCCATCCAACCAACAGTCTGAAAGCCCCTCACACAGCATGGAGCTAATCGTCATCAATAGAGAAAGTATTAGGACAGAAAAAGGCTCAAAAACTGTATTAATAAAGCTGTTTGTCATGTCACTTAAGGAGCTCTATTAAGAGTTCATTCCCCTCCAATATGAAGAATGCAGCATGCACTCCCCTTGTGGGGAGTGCATTCTTTGGTGCTCTTGGCATTGGTGCTTTACGAAAGATCAGACAAAGACAGCAGAGACAGAGCTGGTGTGAAAGTTCCACTTAAATGAAAATTAAACTCCACATACTAAATATTCCATTTTACTTAGAGGGCATCTATTAATTGTTGGTACATTAGTCCTCATCTTATATAAAATCACATTAGAGCAACAGTTACCAATAAAGCCAAACAAAACTTTAGTTGTACCTGTGCTATGCCCCACCCTTTAAAATAGTTTTCATATTTTAAAAACAATTTAAAAAAGATCTCTAACCCCCCATTCCACACCTGTATACATCAAGGTGCTTCAGATGATAAAGCAACAGACAGATCTGCAGTGCTCCTGTGAACAAAAGCCCTTTGCCCCAGATTTAAGAGGACAAGAAAGCACATGGTTTTAGAACCTCTTAAGATAGTCACTCAGTCCATTTAAAAAGGTAAAATGTTAACTCCACCCTCAGTAGAGAATCTCTTTTTACCTTGTAAGAGAAAGTTTCCTCATGCCTAGACTCTGCAAAAGCAACATCTGTGTTAATGCATGTGCCTCTGAAGCAGGAACATGACAGTCTTATCTAGACTTATTTAGGCAAGTTTGTACAGGGGGATCCCACACAGTTTCCTTTGCAGTGAACAGTCACTGATTTTGCACCATCAGGCAAGACATAATTCACCTCACAGGTCAAGATAATAATACCATCTCCAGTGACATACTGAGGTTTCGATTAAATATTCGAAATCAGCAATATTCTGATGGACCTGTTATTGCCTAATTATAGTTCCAACAAAACCCAACAGGTTCCAATACAAAGCCAAAAATGTGCTTCAAATTCTTTGCAGAATTTAACAAAAAAAATTTGCTCTGATTTTTATTACATAGATGACAAACAAAAAAAAAAGTATTAAATTTTCTTATAGACCAAAGCTACTATCAGCATCACTGCAGCGATTACAATTACTTGAAAGGAAAAAAAAAAATTTAATTGGGTGACAAGTCACTGTTAGCTCAAGAACACACCCATGATTAACGAACGTCACAGGTTTAGAAATGAAGTTCATGATGCTTTTTAGCAATGCACGTGTTCAACCACAATACAATCTCCCCCCATCTCTGAATCTTTAATCAAAAAGTATTAAATACTCAGTGCTCAAAGGAACACACAGCTAGTGAACTTACCTCAGGGGAGAGGAAAAAGCAGACCCAAAATGGTAAAGCTGCACCCATTGCATTACAGGGAGCTTCACTGGCATTCTCTCTCTTTAAGAATTGCTGTGAACACCTGATCACAACCACCCGTGAAGGGGTTAAAATGGCTCAGAAGGGACTAATTAACCTGTTAGGCTGCATGGGACTTGGTTGACAAGCACTAATTGAAGATAGTGCCCATCTGGCAGGAGTAGGTGGGGCTTGTATAAAGCCAGGAAGGGCAAGCAAAAGGGCTGTAATGTGGAAGTTTGCAGTTATTGTTGGAGTTAGTGAAGACAGAAGGTGGAAACTCAGGGAAGTAGAAGCCCAAGACCTAGGCTCTGAGGGAAGGGTTTACTCAGAAAGGTGGTGGAGAAGAAAGCCAGCAGAGGGCAGTGTAGGAAGCAGCAGTAAGAGTTGAGATCGTGCAGACCTTGGCTCCTGATTGTAGGGTCCCTGAGCTACAAGCTGTAGTAGTGGGAGGGCCTGGGTTTCCTTACCAGCCACTGGGAGTGGCACAATCTTGAATCAAAAGACTGCCCGGAATGACACCTGGTCTGGTGACTTTGTTAACGTGAAAGGGGAAAGCTGTATGGTGATCTGGCTGGAGAGCCAAACAATGGAGAGGAAGCACTGAGTCCTAGAGACCAAGAGGGATGGTGCATAAGCAAGTGATGGAAGGGAATGTCAGCCTCAGCAGAGTTAATCCCCAGCTGCAACCACAAGGGGTAAGTAAACCTTGTGACTATGCCTAATGCTGCTTGTTAAAATAACCATGCTCTAGGGTGGCCAGAGAGTTGTGGCATTGAAGTAAGAATGCCAGAGAGAGAGTCCAAGAGAGGATCTTTTTGTTTTAAGCAGTCCACAAAATTTAAAAGTTGAAAACCAAGTACTAAAGAGGGAGGGAGAGAGGAGAAAAACCTTTTGTAAGATGGGGGAGGCACAGCTCGTTCATGATGGAAAACATGAATGTTTTTTTAGAATTTATCACATTTATACTTACGTAGTCTACATTCTGGAATTACAGGCTCCCATTTAAATTTATCAGTGCAATGAATCGTAGGTTCACCAGGCATTGTGTAGGCTGCATAACATTCAATTGTAACATGATCTCCAACAACATAATGAGGTTTTGCTCCAGACTTTACTCTTCCATGAGAGATGACCAGGTCTGGACAAACCTCTGAAGATGAAAAAGTGAAACACACACTTGTTAAAACAAAGTAATACGAAACCCAAGTGCAAATGAGATTAGGCTTCCCATTTTAAAAATATTTCCATTCACATGCATTTTAAAATACATACCCCATTGAATCTTTCTGCTACTTTTAAGATGTTTGGTTAGAACCAAACACATTTCAGAGCACCTGTTCTGTAACTTACTCAACATTTTTCATGTTTGTCTACTTTGCACCGATTTACTGAAGGAGTGGAAAACAGCCACATTATGTAGACAGGAATCTTACAGTCTCACGGACCTGTTTATTTCCAGTGATTTACTATTATTTATGTATAGGCATTTATACAATGCTTATCCTAACAAATGAGCTAATGAGAGGCACTGGAAGAGTTAAAATAGCCATCCAACCAACAGTCTGAAAGCCCCTCACACAGCATGGAGCTAATCGTCATCAATAGAGAAAGTATTAGGACAGAAAAAGGCTCAAAAACTGTATTAATAAAGCTGTTTGTCATGTCACTTAAGGAGCTCTATTAAGAGTTCATTCCCCTCCAATATGAAGAATGCAGCATGCACTCCCCTTGTGGGGAGTGCATTCTTTGGTGCTCTTGGCATTGGTGCTTTACGAAAGATCAGACAAAGACAGCAGAGACAGAGCTGGTGTGAAAGTTCCACTTAAATGAAAATTAAACTCCACATACTAAATATTCCATTTTACTTAGAGGGCATCTATTAATTGTTGGTACATTAGTCCTCATCTTATATAAAATCACATTAGAGCAACAGTTACCAATAAAGCCAAACAAAACTTTAGTTGTACCTGTGCTATGCCCCACCCTTTAAAATAGTTTTCATATTTTAAAAACAATTTAAAAAAGATCTCTAACCCCCCATTCCACACCTGTATACATCAAGGTGCTTCAGATGATAAAGCAACAGACAGATCTGCAGTGCTCCTGTGAACAAAAGCCCTTTGCCCCAGATTTAAGAGGACAAGAAAGCACATGGTTTTAGAACCTCTTAAGATAGTCACTCAGTCCATTTAAAAAGGTAAAATGTTAACTCCACCCTCAGTAGAGAATCTCTTTTTACCTTGTAAGAGAAAGTTTCCTCATGCCTAGACTCTGCAAAAGCAACATCTGTGTTAATGCATGTGCCTCTGAAGCAGGAACATGACAGTCTTATCTAGACTTATTTAGGCAAGTTTGTACAGGGGGATCCCACACAGTTTCCTTTGCAGTGAACAGTCACTGATTTTGCACCATCAGGCAAGACATAATTCACCTCACAGGTCAAGATAATAATACCATCTCCAGTGACATACTGAGGTTTCGATGGAAGCATTTTTCCATTTGGGAACTGTGGAGCGCCACAGACACTTGGAGGTACTGTAGTAAAAATAAAGGAGTGACGTGCCCTGGACTCAGATTCATTTTAAATAATTTAATGACTCACAATAATATTTATCATGTCTGGCCAAGGACATACATCCCAGAAGCTGGACAACGATCATTCACAGGACAGCTCGATGAACTGTCCTTTGGCAAGGGCAGTGCAGGGAATAACTACCAATCTCTCACAAACAGCTAATGTTCAAAGAGACATAACAGAACATGCAAGCAGATTACTTGTCTGATTTTCTGATAAGCATATTAGAAGGGCCTCCTAAGGAGAAGGAGCTGGTCTGGCAAGATAAGAAGGGTGGTCTATAGGTAGGATATAGAGATAGTTGCTAGAGAGGCAGTCACACGGAACATCAAGGCTAACAAATGAAAAAAGGACAGGTAAGCAAGGGACAACTGTGTATAGCCTTAGAAGCTAAGACTAACTTGTACTTGATGTGGTGGAAAAGGGGTGAAGATTTCTTGTCCTGAAGATCTTGTCCTCCCCATAGACAATGCAGATGCTACACAAAGGTCTGTCCTCTTGGCTTCTGTGGGATTCTTCAGGGCAGTCTCTGGGCCCACACATGCAGCCAGACATATGTTAGAGCCTATCCTGAGCCTAGCAGTGGCTATTGAGACATCACCAGCGTACTACTCTCCTGGTCTAACCACCACCTCCTCCTCATCCAGGCAAAGATCAGAGGCTTCCTCCTTCCACCAAGGTAGTGAACAACCACAGCTACTATGCCCCTAAAGACTCCTGAACTCCTCTATGTTTTAAACTTTCACAGTCACACACATTCAAGACCAAGCTGCCAATGAATTAGTACATCTAACGTCCACTGTCACTGATGCCTTGGCCCCAAGCTGCTCAATTCTCCACCACTATCACCACTGTTCACAGATGAACTATGGCAGATAAAGCACACTAATGAATAAAATATTTTGAATGCACCTGCCAGCAGCATTGGCTCTTGCACGACTACGTCACTGCAGTGAAGGCAGCAAAAAGAGCACTCTATTCTGCCATCAGTGAGTCAATATCAGCGAGCAAAGCTATTTCACATAGCCCTCGGGTTACTCAGCCCAGACATCAGACCCAAGCATTGACCATTACCAAGAACTCTCAGCTTACTTCACTGATAATCAGTCAAGCTTAACTGGGAAAGACAAATCCACCCCTGAACAGATCATATTATCCACTCCACCATGTATGCCATAGCTCAGGAAACCCTAAAAAAATATTTAAACCACAAGCTGTGAAATGGGTCCATGGCCTTCCTGCCTAGTAAAAGCCAGTAGGGAACTACAGCCACTACTTCTGCTTCTCTCTGAGAAGTACTATTTCCATAATCACCAAGCCCCTTGCAAAACAGTAGCTTCCGAATCCTCAAGAAGCCATAACTGCACCCTGAAAAACTCTTCAACATCCCATTCCTGGGCAAAGTAACTTAGAAAATAATAGCTACTGCGTACATTTAAGGATAATCAAAACCTTAAACTCCCCCTCAATGCAGAAACCCTAATGGCTGACAATTAAAAGCTATTTATCTTAAACTTGAGTTTAATGGTAATGTTGCTTCTGCAGATTCTAGGCACTTGGAAACATCTGTGTTAATGCACATGCCTGTGAAGCAACAGCAGAAAGGACCATGACATTCTTATCTAGACTTATGTTGACAAGTTTGTACAGGAGGATCCCACACATTGTTTCCTTTGTAGTGACTAGTCATAGATTTTGCACCATCGGGCAAGACATAATTCGCCTTGCACGTCAACGTAATACCATCTCCAGTGACATATTGAGGTTTTGATGGAAGCATTTTTCCATTTGGGAACTGTGGAGCACCGCAGACACTTTGAGATACTGTAGTAAAAAATAAATACATTTTTACAAATCAAAGCAGAAGCAAGGTGTTCTGGAAGTTCCAACAGCATGTGACCAGGATGCCTCACAATTAGGGCTTGGACCAGGACATAGCACAGAGACTGTTCTAAGGGCACAAGACAATAAACTTCTTGCCTATGTCCATGATCACGAGATTTGCTCATATTATTTGACCTCTATTGCTGCCTCTGAGACAGTGGACCATAAGCAAACTGCTAATCCATCTACATGACACAGCAGGAGCAGATGACTCAGTACTCAAGAGGTTGAAACTCAATGGCTGATGGCTCCTCCTAATGGATGGCCCTCACCTGTGAGATTCCACAGGGACCCATGCTATCCCCTTTCCTCTTCAATATCTACAGGAAACCACTGGGAGAGAGAATTAAACACCATGTGCTCAGTTGCCAACACAGTATACCAACACTCACTTGTATTTTTCATGCTCAATAGATGCAACCACTGCTACTACTGAAATGTCAGAATGCCTCTTCCCCCCCACAAAAAAAAAATCAGCTAGTAGAGATGAACATCCTTAGGAGCTTTGGAGAAATCCCACATTAGGTCTAAAGTTTGCATTTCCTTTCTTCACTCTAAACAACCTTGTAGTCTAACCAAGTCTTGGAAGAACACGTATAGATTTTTATAATGCTGTGTGCGCAATGTGTAAGGGAAGTTGACCTCTCAAATCCCATTTGCACTTACCTTTTTCACAAGTTGGTACTGGAGGAGACCATAAATTATTTGCTTGGCATACAATCATATGACTGCCAACCATGAAGTAGCCAGCCTCACATTCAAATATAATGGCATCTTGATATGAATAGGAAGGACCAAATCCACTTAGTTTTCTCCCATTTTCAACTTCTGCGTTACTGCACTTGACCACTGAAAATGGGTAAGAATGTGAAAAACTCATCTTCTAAAGAAAAAATAAAGCCCTGAAACATGTGAATAGCATATCTTTACATTTTTTAAATAAACAGTGGCTTTAATTCTGCATCCCCTTCTCCCCCGACCTAATTTTTTAAAAGTTTATTTCTACAACAGCTACCTTGGAGCTAGACAAGGGGGAAAAAAATTAAGTATATCAAAATGAGCCTTCAACTAAACCACCAAACAGATGCATACAGATATTAAATCACAACACTGCACTTAATTGGATTCCTATTCACAAGTCCAAGAAATAGCAAGGTTAAGGAAGAAATTCCCTTAGGTTTACCACAACCATGCTACGTGTGACACTAAGTAGACCAATGACACAATTTCGCTTCAGACAAAAAACCCTACATTTTACTGAGGGTGTCCATATGTCCAATTGACAAAACATTAACTTTGCTACTCATACTTAGTGGGTTTATGTCTTCCAGGACTTTTCTTTGCTTCTTCACTCTTCATTTAATGGATTTGTTGCTCTTGACCAATCAACACTACTCTCCCTCTTGTTCCTCAGCTCCCAAGATCCAACTCTACTATATTCTTGCTTTTTGTTGTCCTGCTTTTATTGAACTTTATATTCTCATTTCCCCTAGCCCATCCTATGATTACACTCTCCATCAATCTTCTTTACAAACAAACACTGATCCCTGGTCCTGGTCCAAATTCTCAGCTGGGGTAATTATACAGAATAATTGATTTCAAGGGCACTACATGAGTTTATACCAACTGAGGATTTGGTCCCTTGTGTCTTTACTAGTTCTTTATCCCTTGCAGAGGATGAGATTCTCTCTATTTGACAGCAACACAAAGCTAACACATCCAATGCTAGCTACTACGAAGAGAAGGGAGAATTCCAAGCTTTGTCACTAATACAAACATTGTCCAAATCAGTTTGGGATTGGCTCGTTGGGCTCATTAGGATTCTATTCTACATAGGTTAGAATACCATGCTCATAATAATAGTGGACTGCCTTCCATTAGTGCAGGGGTCTCAAACACGCAGCCTGTGTGGTCCGCAAGGTTATTTTCTGTGGCCCACCAGCTCCCCGTGGCACCCCCACCCCCCCAGCATTTACCTAGAGCGGCTCCAGCCCCACATGCACCGGGGCAGGGCAAGCTCCCTCCCTGCCTTGCCCCCCCGCTCCAGGAAGCGGTCGGGACCTGGTGGGGCCCCACAGGGGTCTGTGTGTTGCCCTGGCCGCTCCTCCAGGTACCTTCCCCGAAGCTCCCATTGGCAGCAGTTCCCTGTTCCCAGCCAACTGGAGCTTCGGGGGAAGTACCTGGAGGAGACGCCAGGGCAACACACAGACCCCTGTGCCCCCACCTCCCCCAGGTTCCGTCTGCTTCCCGGAGCAGCGCGGGGGCAGGGCAGGCCCGGACCTGCCCCCCAAACCCTTCCTGTAGCCGAAACCCCTGCCCTGAGCCCCCTGCTGCACCCTGCACCCTTCCTGCACCCCAACCCCCTGCCCTGAGCTGCCTGCCACACCCTGTACCCCCTGGGGTGGGGCCTCACTGAAGGGGTGGAGTGGGGTGGGGCCAGGGCAGCGGTGGGGGGGGTAGTGGTCAGTGGTGCGGCCCTCTGGCCAGTGTACTAGTCCTCATGTGACCCTCATGGTCATTTGAATTTGAGACCCCTGCATTAGTGCATTAAGCAACATGCCTACATATCTGTCTAATGTTGATGTCATACCATTGTTTAAAGTCAAGTGAAATACAAAGATAATATCGGTGTGTGTGGGAGTAGCCTAAAGCTGACTCACCAGTCTGGGCACTTGGAAAGTGCCATCACTTAAGGCACACTGGAGAGATAATTGGTTAAGGACTGGGTGATTAACCAGTTAACAGGGTGGTTCAGCTCACCAGCTGAGGACAGCTAAAAGACAGGAAGAGAGAGAGTCTGGAAGGAAGGGTTGGAGAAGCCCAGGATCACAGGGAGATAAGATCTCTCAGCCTCTCCCTAGGGAGAAGGTAAGAGCCTTCTGCTGTGGGGAGTTTGTATTGTTATTTCACAGTATAAATACAAGCACATGACACTGAGCTTGCCAAAGAGTACTCAAGGACTGTTTGCGGTGAGTGAACCCTGCTCTATGACAATCAGCTACACCAGATCTCCTTTTTGTAGTAGTAATCTATATCATGTGAGTAGGAGATGAAAACTGAGCTCAGAGATCTTTACCACTACTTTTAAAGTTCTGAAGGGATGTACTACAAGTTTCTAACCAGCAAAATCTATTTGTCCTCCTGTCCCACACCTGTTGAATCTTTTTTTCAGATTAAGGAACTCAGGGGAAGAGACAGGACTGTCTAGCAGTGGGGATTTTTAAAGAAAAATACTAGTCTCCTGATGCCACATATCTGAAAACTAAACAGCGACACCTTTGAACAACTAAGAAATCTGACATGGGAATGTTTAGGATTTGAACAAATACCACAGAAGCAAAGGAATTCAAAGTTAAAGACAAAACACGAACATGACATCTGGGGTGCCCTATTTTATCCAGCTGAGATGTTTAATCTTAAACCTGAGTATCCTTTTGGTATGATTTTATAGAAGCTACAAAAAATAGTGACCTTTACACTGAGGGGGCTCTCCACTCCAAATTCCATTTTGGTCTTTGTCAGATGTACAGTGAATAGATGCCTCTCCAATGAGTGAGAAAGGGTCTGTGCCTCTTGGTACAGTATTACAGCTGTAAGTTACTGTTGAGCCATAGGTGTATTCAGTATTGGAGTCACCGGAATGCCTCCCATTCTTAATGTCTGGAGGCGGATGACATGGAATTGCTAGAAAATATTAAAAGTTAAGAAAAAAAGCATTTAACCGAAAGGAGAAAAACTGCCATAGCAACAAGCAGAACAACAACAAGGTACACAGTCTACAGGCAATAGGGCAACAGTCATTCAGGCGAGTGCAAAGAATTACAGAAGCCTATGGATTTTTACAGCAATATTATTCAAGGCAAGGGGATTTTCAATAGATCTGATGCATGAAAGCCTGCAATCTGACCCATTTTAGGTGTCTAATACACAATTTTTTAAAAGTGATTTCACTGAATCAGCTAAACTATTTGATAATGGGGGGTTGTGGTTAACACAAGTGCAAAACCACCAAAAAAGGTCAGAAAAGGAGAAAATGGAGATGTAAATATGTACAATTTTATGTTAGCAGCATATTGGGGAAAGGAGATGGTAAGATGGTAGATTAACAGAAAACAGAGGAAAAAAGAGCTCTCTGAAAGACTGAAAAAAGTCAATACATTTGCACTGGAAATCACAGACTTGTTTTCCCAGTGCCTTCTGAAGGAAAGTTATGAATATTATGTTAACATCTTCCAGATATTTAATTGGAAAACCTGAATGTATTTTGATAAGACTTTTCTGTTACTTAGGAAACCAGAAGTAAAAATGTAAATGTTATGGACATTAAAGGAAAGTTAGCATAATACAACTTTTTCTAGAAATGCAGTTAGCCTGTATGCTTGATTAACCCCTGTATGTGGTGAAGTTATATTTGAATCCTTTTCCCTATAATTACTCAAAATTATTAAAAGAATAAGCCCCTAATGTATGCAGAAATCTAAAACTTAGTCTAGAATGAAATAATCTGACTAGCCTTCCATTAAAATGTAACTGAAAAGAATTTCCATAATAGCAAATATACATTTACGGCACTGGATGAATAAAATATCCTAAGAGTCTGAAAAAAGCAAGCATGGTGTAGCTCCTACATACGAACAATAAATCTGAAACCGAACACAGCAAAACAGAAGTTGAAATCATAAAACTGTCTACAAATAAGTCATGGAAAAAAGCCTACTGTGATACAAAGAAAGTAACAGGATAATTGGGTATCAGGATTATATATGAAAATCTATCCTGTTCACCTAAAATCAGTCAGAAACTCAAATCCGTTGTAGAACTATTTTCTTCAATATAGTGTAGACAGAATGAATTTGAGACAGCCATAAATTCCACGTAAACTATTAATCACAAGTTGACAGTTGTGTTATCAGTTATTCAGCAGGTAAAGTTTACTCCTGATTTTCAATGAGTGAGTGAATTTGACCCATATGAGCTAGCTATCAGTAATCTCTGGGCATTTTCAACAGACTGGTACCTCCGTTAGCTTTTAAAATGGTGAAATAAACAAGACTAAACATTTTAACAATACTTATTTTCTGTACTAGTGAATTCCTTTTACAGCACAATTTACCTAAACTAGTTGCATGAACTGGCAATACCAGAACAGAATCATAAATGTATAAAATCCACTTACCTTCACAAAATGGAAGTTCATGATTCCACGTGACCCTTGTTCCATCAATCACACACAGACTAGTATTATGTCCAACTAATCTGAACCTAAACAAGAACATTTTTTAAAAGGCAAAATTGCTTAACAAATTACCGAACTTCTAAACCATCAGCTCAGATATTTTGAGTATACTTCTGTTCTGCCAGCAGGTGGTGACAACACACTGAATTTCAGGTGATGCCATTCTTATAAGACAAAGAGTTACTTATTTTGCTAAGTATTCTGATCAAAGCCAGAAAATAGCAAGTGAGAAAAGTGACTCCAGCTAACAAGGATCGACATCTGAGATTTACATATTAGAGATACCCAGTTCACCACTGCTGATTCTTTGAAAATTACCAAAGCAATGCCAAAGATACTGTAGAAGGAGGAAAATAATTGGCTACCAAATTCAGAACTAACACTCAGTGTAAGACCTCAGTGCATTCTGTTTTTATTTGTTTGATGCATAACCCTATATCCCAAACATCTAGAAAGAGGCAGATAAAGTTAATACAAATTACAAAATTCTGCCCTATGTACCTATTTAATTATACAATGCTAGATGTGTACCAAAATATCAACACCAACCACAATATTTGAAAAATTTTTATAAAGGGGAGGCGTATTTAAAAATTTTTGAGGACCCTATTTAAAAAAAAGCCATTCCAAGATTTGAAAGCAAATCTTTTCAAATTTGAATACAAGGTACTAAAAAGGGAAGGTTCACACAATGGAAACACTGACCCAACCTTCTTTGCATTGAACATGCAGAACAGCTAAAAGGTTGCAGCTATTTATTTCAGGAACTTCGTACTCCAGAATGCCCCGCTGAAGGTTTGTCATAATTTGCTATCTAGACCTTTGTACTGACTACAACAGTAGTAGTATTGGGGAGGGGGTGGGGGGAGGAATCTTCGACATCCTTACCCTTCGTCACAAGAAAATGTAATGTTCGAACCAAATAGGAGATCTGTGATATGAACCTTGCCATTAGCTAGGTCTCTTGGATGTCCACATGATTTCCCTAAAGAGAGAATATAACAGGAATTAGATTTTTCTTTCTGTTCTGTTACAAAACATAACTAAAGGTAAATAATAAGTGACCCACATTTTCGCACGTGACTAATGTAAAGTTAAGTGTTTATATTAATTTAAAAAGCCTATGAAAACAAGAAAAAAGGCCCTCAAATGTGATGAATTTACATATTATTGTGTTATGAGTGGAATGGATAAGACCAGTGCCCTTCTAGTGAAATAACAAATTACTAGGAACCCAAATCAAGTGAATTACATAGAAAATAATACAACCAGATGCCAAAAATTTTGTGGCAGACTTAAAGAGCCCCATCCTGGAAGATGCACTTTTACCTTCCAGAAGGATGCGAGAGCTAAAGAATTCTATCCAACATTTCCTTTCTCAAGGAAAGCATAACCCTCCACACAGCACTCCCAGCCCACAGAGAGAGAGAAAAAAAATTTAACTGATATCATCACAGCAATGCAAACCAATATCACTAACTCATGGACTTGGCACGTTTTTATCAATAACGACATGCAATGTCTGCATTAGTTTAGTCTCCATGTACAATCCTGGCCCTATTGAATGGAAGTGTTGCCACTGACTTCAAGTAGGCCAGAACTTCATCTTCTGTGTTAAAGTTTTACATTTTGATTCTTTAGGGGAGCTTTATGCACCTCCTAAAAAACAAACAATTCTGTCTGAAAAACTGTGTCCCTTTCAAGCTCCAAATCATGAAATGTTACAAAATCCTCATTCCAGTCCAGAAGAGCCTTTAACCTGTTAGTGTTTTCTGACCGGAGTGTGGAGGGGTGGCAGAGGGAAGAGAGGAGAAAAAACCTTACCTTGACAAAACATTTTGGGTTCTGACCACACCGATTTTTCTTCACAAGTAAGAGTGGGCGACTGTCCAGCGACTCTTTGGTAACCTGGGCGGCAGTTATATGTCACTGTGGTCCCAACTGGAAACTCTTCCTTGGCCTTAGACTCGTCTTGCAGTTCAGCAAAGCTTAGCTTTGGTGGGGTACCACAACTACCTATTAAAAAAAAAAAAAAGAAATAGCATTGTAACTTTGGGGAAAAAAAACCCAAACTCTTTAGTTTTTGTATTTTAAACAAGCCTTAACTGACACAGAGGATGGGATTTTCAAAAGAGCCTAGGAAAGTTTCAATGGGCTCTGGGCATAGAACTTCCTTAGGCCCTTTTGAAATCCCAGCTTGAAATCTTAAAACAAGGAGTACAAACAGTAACTCGCACTACCAATCTGTGAGGTACAAGGTAAGAAAAAGATACTTATTGAAAAAAAATCCTAAATCCACAGAACAAGCGTGACTAGTTAAGCAGTGGTAAGATCAACAGAACTTAACATTTGCTTTCAAATTTCATCTGCCACTGTGGCACGCAATTTTCAGAGATACCAACCCTTTAACTTAATTGCATGTCCAACAGCAAGAAGCAATTTGATTCAAGTCCAATCAACAACAAGGATGTTTGTTGAAGAAAAAAACGCTCCCCTTTTTCTTGATCTGCTTCTTCACCTTATGACAGTGTGACAACTCCACCTCCAACTGCATTTCTCTAAATCTGTAGCATTTTGACCAGTTTGCTTAGGCAAACAAGAAATCTGCAGAAACATACGGCTGCACATCAGACCTCAACTTTCCACTAAATGATGCTTACTCTGCAGTAAAGGAACAGCTACTTAATCTACAGTATTTATGGTTCCAGATGTGTTGGACACAGATTCCACTCTTGATACACACAAACACCATGCACTAGAGATTGGAATCTTTTTGGCTAGCAGTATCTGTTGGGGCCATACCTGGATCCTTGATCAATCCCTGACCACCCTCAGGGCATAAAGATAGGGAAACCTAACCATCTCTCAGTTCATTTGCCAACATAGAATCCCAGAGGATTAGGACTCCACATTAGGGCGGAGACGGAGCTGTCTGTTCAAAGCCTCAAACTGTGGAGCAGCTGAGGAAGTTGCAGAGGTTGCCTGTGTTAAAATCTCTGCTTTTTTTCCAGAGGCTCAGACAATCAGGGAGCACTGCCTGAACTATGGCTGCTTTTGTTGTTCTCTTTTACGGGATGGGACACTGCACTCCTTAGGGCTCGGAGCAGCCCTGCAATTAATCCTTCAGAGTCTGGAGTGCCTCATTGTTGCCCTCAAATGGAAGGTCTTCAATTTTTGCCTCTTGGAATCCCTGAGGGTTGCAGTCATGGCAATCGCCTCACAGAAATGGCAATGGCCACTGTTCACACTGCAGTGTTAGACAGTTAGTCTGCAGAGATGTTCTGGCAGTTTTAGACCTCTGCCATAAGTGTTTTCAGTTCTTCCTAGTGTTCCTTGGATAATTTATCCACAAAATTGGGCAGTTCATCCCAGTTTAAATTTTTTTTTTTTGTAAACCACACAGTAACGCTTGGTAACTTGCTACCCTCATTTACAGACTTGTGGAAGAACAGACCTTTCAGCCAGAGAAGTCAAGCTTTTCAGAGAGGAGGCAAGGAGTCTCTCTCTTGAGGGATGGACTTTAGAGGACTGTACTGTTTTGTTCTGTATTGTACTGCTTGTACAACCACAGAGCCAGGTGTAGGTAGCTCAAAAATATTTAAGCCTCTTTGTGGGGACCTGATTGACAGTCTGCACGCCACGTTCATTCTTTTTTTAGAAACTATGATGAATTTTGTACAAAGTATGCCTTTTGAGACATGTCCTGGGTAGATAAAGCCCATCAAGGGGCGTCTGGTCACATAATCAGCAGGGATTTTACACCCCAACTGCGAGTGTCTCTGACAGCTTAACACACAAAACAGGAGTGTGTGACCTAGCAGTCTCAGTCCCCTAGGGCTTCCCTTGCTACCAGGGTAGCATGACCTAGCAGTCAGGGTAGACTGCACCATCACCCAAGAGCTCAGGCCCTCAGTCAGGGCAGAGCAGCAAACGCACACACAGTCTCAATAGTCTAGCATTTTGACTCTGGTGAATAGTAGACAACTGTAAACCTCTAGGTCTATGGTGGGGGAACTGCCACCCCAGTGGGGGTTAGCAGCAGGGGGACCCAGCCCAGGGCCCTAACAGAGTGTTATGCCATTGGGTCAGCAGGAATCTGCCCCAAACACAGTGAGATCTCAGTCCTATGACCAGACTAATGTCTATTTCCACTGGGCCACTTCCTACCTGGTCTCCTAGTACAGCAGTCCATGGGTGCTCTGGGGACATCTGCTGGCAAGGTCTGCAGCAACTCAGTCCCCCGCCCAGGTTACCACTGGCTTTCCAGTGTCCACCAGGGGTTCAGCACGCCGAGCCTCTATGAACTGGGGCTCTCCCAGGTCCATTGAAGGCGCTCATTATAGACATCCTTTCTCAGCAGTCCAGCCCAACTGAGCTGCGCTGCTTCCCTTTATACCCTGTCTCCAGGCTGAGCATGTTCAGCAGGGATGGAGGGGTGTGGCTTCCTCAGCATGCAATGCACAGTTAACCCCTGGGGGGCCAGTGTGGGGTAGATAGACCTCATCACAAGGCATCATGTGAAAACTCATAATCTGCTGGACCTTATTATCCTGGTAAAATATGTGGCAACACTGTATGTAAAGTTAGAAGATTCTACTGTATAATGTCGCTGTGACACGTTCCAAAGTTAGAAAAACAAGCCCAAACCAGTTCTTCAAAGACAAAAGACACATTGATGCCCTGGCTATGCATCAACATAATCAAATGGACTACCACGTGGCCATTCTCTGTCAGAAAGAAGGGTGTGAGCTAGAACTTTACATACTGGCAATGGAACAGCTGGGGGTTTTCCATGTAAACAGACTGTTGCCTGAACCCCAGCTGTAGATAGGCCTCAAAGAGGGGAGAAGGATATAAGACTGAGAAACAGAAGCTCCCAAATCACCTCTCTCCACTCATGACATCAATAATGTTTGAAACATAAAGGAAGCATGACTGAACTGGGGGGAGGTCCTAGTTGAAGCAATCCAGCCAGACGGCTATACGCTGGCGGGGAGGCAAACCTTTTTGCTTTTAAGCATGCTTGGTTTGTGAAATTAGGTATTAGTGTGCATTTTACCTTTTATTTCTTTTTTTGTAACCAATTCTGATTTTTATGCCCCATTACTTGCAATCAATTAACATCTATCTGCAGGTAATAAACTTGTTTTATTGTTTTATCTAAACCAGTGTGTCTGGATTGAAGTATTTGGGAATCTCCACTTGAGAGAACATTTGTGCACATCATTTTCCACTGATGAAATGATGGCCTTTATGTGAGCTTGCATTATTCAGTAGAGAGCTTGACAGTACAAGAAACACATTTCAGGGACAAGATCTGGGACTGGGAAGTAGCTGGTGGTTCCCTGTATGTAATTCATGAATGGCTGGCCAGAGCATTCATGTAATTCAGCTGGGCATGATTTTGCATGCTTGAGGCTGTGTGTGATCTGGCCAGGAGAGATTGTTCTCACAGTAAAACAGTGTACAAGGCATCCCAGACTGGAAAATTGAGGGGACACAGTTGACCATCTGTCCAGACTGTATCCTTGGGAATATCACACTGATATCTTCCGTCCACTTTCTTGGAGGTAGCAGAGAGAAAAGCCAGTGTGTGAGGTTCTGTCTTGCAGTCATGGGAAGTAAGAAGAAAGTGAGAGGTGGCTGGGCCCACTCCACCCTTTGTACCCCCTGGTGGAGAGGAGTGGAGGAAAAGGGCACAGATGCAGCTAAATGGATACCACTAGCCAAAAAGAACTGGATTTTCAACCCATGGGGGGCATGTGTACCAATCATGGAATCTGTGTGAACAGTCACTCAAAGAACAATCTGTTTTTGCAGAAGAAAAATATCGGCAGCTGATTAAAGAGGCTCAGCAATAGGGCAGCAATAGGCGGGCCCTATAAGCCCAGAACTGAAAGGCAGATACTCTCAGGAGAAAGGGAGAAGTGAATGGAGACTACAGTCACTTCCTGGGAAGAAGAAGGAGACTTTTGGGAACTGATAGGCCGACGAACGAAAAGGGAACTAGAAGTAGGAAGTAGCCCAGGGATAGAGCAGTGAGACGGCCCAGACTGCTAAGCTGAAGGTCCCTGGGCTAAAACCTAGAACAGAGGGCAAGCCTAGGTTCCCCTACCAGCCACTGGCTGAACGATACTGAGGCAGTGAGCGAGAGGACTGCCTAGGATTATTGATGGCTAAACCACCCCTGGAAGTGGGGAGCACAGTCAGTGACATGGCCAGAGGGTTGAGCCATGAAGAGGACACTATGGTTTCTGAGGCTGCGGGAGGAGCTAAAGGCAGATGGAGTGACGGTGTGCGAACTGCGGGGGGTCTGGCCTTGAGCTAATCCCCAGAGTATCAGGAGGAGGCACCAGGCCAGATGTGAGTGGTACATCTTGTGACAGGCAGGCTTCCTTTCAACACCTCCCCATGGGGCCTCCCCTCCTGAGGGTTGGCAACCCACCCACCTAGAGCCTTCCTGCAGGAAGTCAAATACAGAGAAGTCACAGACAAATCTAGGAATCACAGTATCCATAACATTCTCTGTACTGAGAAGCACTTGAAGTATGATACAAAGTGGGAGACCTAGGCTATGGCTACACTACCGCAGTGCTACTCAAAGTGGTGGTCCGCAGACCGGTGCCGGTCCGCGAGCCATTGGTTGCCGGTCTGTGTGCACATTGGGGGAGAAAAAATTGCCAGCCCCCCACATCAGACAGCTTGAGAAGCACTGCACTAGAGAGCTTACAATGGCCCAGCCGCAGCAACGCAGCTGTGCTGATAGTGTAGCTGCTCTAAGGCAACTGGAGAGACCTCGCCCATCAATTGAGCTACTGCTGCTCGTTAAGGGGGCATTAATTATGCTGATAGGAGAAGCTCTCCCACTGATACAGCACTGTTCACACCAGCACTTAGGCTGGTGTAACTTAGGTCGCTCAGCTGGAGGTTCATTCACATCTGAGCAATGTAATTGGTAGTATAGACATAGCCCCGGTCTACACTAGGGGATCTATGTAAGATACGCAACTTCAGCT